CCCAGTGGGCTGGCAGGCAGATGGGAGAATCAGGGGTGCTTCTGGCTCTCCCTGACTCTTGCTTGCCCTCTGCCAGAGGTTGACGCAGGAGATACAGGGCCGACAGCAGGACAGGGCCACACTGTCCCGCCTCTGCCAAGACCTGCAAGCGGCTCTCCAGGTACGTACTGTCCCTTCCATCTGTCCCTCTTGCAGCTGCTGCCCCTCAAGCCCAGCACCCCTGCTGACTTGGGGCTGTGTTTCCTTCCCCTGCCCAGGACTATGAGCTACAGGCAGACACCTACCGCTGCTCCTTGGAACCCACCCTGGCAGTGTCTGCCCCCAAGAGGCTCCGAGTGGTTCCCCTGCAAGAGAGCGTCCAGGCCCAGGTGAGGCAGGCCCTAGGCCTCAGTCGCCCCTCCTTGGAGCTCTGCTGCCTCTGTTGGCTTGAGCTGACCCTGTTCCTCCACCCCGTCTGCCCTCTCAGGAGAAGAACCTTGCCAAAACCTACACAGAGGTTGCAGCCGCGCAGCAGCAGCAGCTGAAGCAGCTGGAATTTGCTAGAAAGATGCTGGAGAAGGTATGGAGATGACACTCCCTCCGGATCTGCAGTAGCCAGCCTGGCAACGCCAGCCTGTCTTCCCCAGCAGCTGTCCCAGGCAGCCGCCATGGCACGCTGTGGCCCTGACAGCCTCCTTCAGTATGGTTATAGCTTAGCTACTGGGCAGTGTCCCTCACCATGGTTTGTGGTCCCCTGCCAGCTTCTCCATGGTGCAGCCAGAGTCTGGCATCTCCCCGAGATGGAAGCACCTATTGCCAGTAGCTGGGAGTGGAGAACAGGATCATTGCTGTAGCGGGCACAGAACCCCTGTGAGTGTACACTGCCGGGTATAGACTTGGCACTGAATACAGCCTGGGGCCCGATAGCCTGACCCTGGCCGGCTTTCTCAGTATTCAAGCATCTTGGGTCTTCAGCCCCACCTCCATGAGCCAGCAGGGAGGGCAGAGTCAGGAGGCTCAGAAAGCAGGTAGGGGGTCCCTGAGCTCAGAGCGGGACCCAGGAAGACGGACTTCTCCATCTTTGCTCCCCTCTAAGCCCAGTCCTCTGCCTTTTTCCTCTCGCTCTGCAGAATGAAGACATCCAGGTGAGCCACGAGGCTAAGGTGGCATCAGCGAGCCCAGGCCAGGCAGGGCCGGATTCAGAGACACTCCGTTCGCAGCTGGAGGACGAGAGGAAGCGGGTAGCGCAGGTGCAGCACGAGCTGGAGGAGCAGAGGAAGCAGCTGCTGAAACTGCGGACCCAGCGGCCGGTGGAGAGGCTGGAGGAGGAGGAAGTGGTGGAGTTCTATCGGGACCCCCAGCTGGAGAGCAGCGTGGCCAGGACGCAGTCGCAGGTAGAGCAGGAGGGCAAGCGGCGGGCCGGGCTGCAGGCAGAGCTGGAGGCCACAGCCCAGAAAGTGGCCCAGCTGGAGAAAGCCCGGAAGGCCAAGCAGCCTCATCTGCTGACCAAGGAGGTCACCCACATCGAGCGGGACCCCGGCCTGGATGGCCAGGCAGCCCAGCTCGGCCTTGAGATCCAGAAGGCACGAGGGGAGAACGGCGCAGTGGGCACCCAGCTGGAAGAGCTGAAGGAAGAGCTGCTGGCCTTGGAGCAGAGGGAGGCCGCTGTGCAGGAGAAGGTGGTGGTGAAGGAGGTGGTCAAGGTGGAGAAGGACCTGGAGATGGTCAGGGCGGCTGGGGCTCTGCGGCTGCAGGTGGAGGAGGAGGCTGCGCGGAGAAAGAGAGCGGCAGAGGCTGTGGCCAGGCTGCGGGCTCGCGCGGCAGAGCTGGAGCGGGCCATCAGCTCGGTGGAGCCCAAGGTCATTGTGAAAGAGGTGAAGAAGGTGGAGCAGGACCCAGGCCTTCTGCAAGAATCGTCCCGGCTGCGGGGCCTCCTGGAGGAGGAGAGGGGCAGGAACGCCGCGCTGGCCCGGGAACTGCAAGAGCTGCAGGCCCGGCACCGCGCAGCTGAGGCGCAGAAGCCACAGGTGCGGCTGCAGGAGCGTGTGCACGAAACCTTCTGCGTGGACCCGGAGACGGAACAGGAGCTGGTGCGGCTGCGGGCCCGGCTGCAGGAGACAGTCAGCAAGAGGAGTGGCGTGGAGAAGGACGTAGAGAAGTTGCTGCCCGACCTGACACTCCTGCGGGCCCGGAAGCCCACCGTGGAGTACCGCGAGGTGACGCAGGAGGTGGTGCGCCACGAGAAGAGCCCGGAGGTGCTGCGGGAGATCGACCGGCTCAAGGCTCAGCTCAATGAGCTGGTCAACGCGCACGGGCGCTCCCAGGAGCAGCTCATCCGGCTGCAGGGGGAGCGCGACGCGTGGCGGCGGGAGCGGGCCAAGGTGGAGACCAAGACCGTGACCAAAGAGGTGGTGCGCCATGAGAAGGACCCGGTGCTGGAGCAGGAGGCAGCGCGGCTGCGCCAGGAAGTGCGGGAGGCCACGCAGCAGCGCCGCGCCGCCGAGGACGCGCTCTTCGAGCTGCAGAACAAGTACCTGCTGCTGGAGCGGCGGCGGCCCGAAGAGAAGGTGGTGGTGCAGGAGGTGGTGGTGGCCCAGAAGGACCCGAAGCTGCGTGAGGAGCACAGCCGGCTGAGCCGCAGCCTGGATGAGGAGGTGGGCCGCCGGCGGCAGCTGGAGCGCGAGGTGCAGCAGCTGCGCGCTGGCGTGGAGGAGCAGGAGGCACTGCTGAGCTTCCCGGAGGATCGTGGCAAGAAGCTGGCCGTGGAGCGTGAGCTGCGTCGCCTGAGCCTGCGGATCCAGGAGCTGGAGCAGCGGCCGCCTGCGGTGCAGGAGAAGATCATCATGGAGGAGGTGGTGAAGCTTGAGAAGGACCCGCAGATGGAGAAGTCCACCGAGGCCCTGCGCCGGGATCTGGACCGAGAGCAGACCCAGCTGGCCGAGCTGCGGCGGCAGGCCAAGGGCCTGCAGGTCCGCATCGACGTCCTGCAGCAGGCCAAGTCACAGGAGAAGACTGTCTATAAGGAGGTGATCCGGGTGGAGAAGGACCGGGTGCTGGAAGGTGAACGTGCCCGGGCCTGGGAGGCGCTGGGCCGGGAGCGTGCGGCCCGCCAGGCGCGTGAGGAGGAGGTGCGGCAGCTGCAGGAGCGCGTGGACAGGGCTGAGGCGCTAGGGAGGAGCTGGTCACGGGAGGAGGCTGAGCTGCAGGCGGCCCGGGAGCACGCGAGCCAGGAGCGGGGGCGGCTGCAGCGGGAGCTGCATGAGCTGGAGCAGCAGAAGCAGCAGAAGGCCCTGCAGCTGCAGGAGGAATCACGCCTGCTGAGCCAGAAATCCGAGAGTGAAAGGCAGAAGGTGGCCCAGCAGGGCCAGGCACTGGCGCAGCTGGAAGCGGCCATCCTGCGCGAGAAGGACCAGCTACATGAGAAGGAGCGGACTCTTCGAGAGCTGCAGGCCAAGGTGAGTCGTGAGGAGCTGGGCCAGGAGACACAGACGCGGGAGACCAATCTGTCTACCAGGATCTGCATCCTGGAGCCCGAGACGGGAGCCGACATGTCCCCGTACGAGGCCTACAAGAGAGGCGTCATTGACCGAGGCCAGTACCTGCAGCTGCAGGAGCTCGAGTGCGACTGGGAGGAGATCACCACCTCGGGCCCCTGCGGCGAGGAGTCGGTGCTGCTGGACCGCAAGAGCGGGAAGCAGTACTCCATCGAGGCCGCCCTGCGCTGCCGGCGCATCTCCAAGGAGGAGTTCCACCTGTACAAGGATGGCCGCCTCCCCATCTCCGAGTTTGCCCTGCTCGTGGCGGGCGAGACCAAGCCCTGTGCCTCACTCTCCATCGGGTCCATCATCTCTAAGTCCCCGCAGGCCTCCCCAGGCCCCCAGAGCAGCAGCCTCTTCTCCCCCGGCTTGTCTTACGGGCTAGCTGACGACAGCTTCCCCATCGCCGGCGTCTACGACACCACCACCGACAACAAATGCAGCGTCAAGACGGCCGTGGCCAAGAACATGCTGGACCCCATCACCGGGCAGAAGCTGCTGGAGGCCCAGGCGGCCACGGGGGGCATCGTGGACCTGCTGAGCCGTGAGCGCTACTCTGTGCACAAGGCCATAGAGAGGGGCCTGATCGACAATACCGCCACACAGCGGCTGCTCAACGCCCAGAAGGCCTTCACGGGCATTGAAGACCCTGTCTCCAAGAAGAGGCTGTCGGTGGGCGAAGCCATCCAGAAGGGCTGGATGCCGCTGGAGAGCATGCTCACCCACCTGCAGGTGCAGCACCTGACGGGGGGCCTCATCGACCCCACGAGGACGGGCCGCATCCCTGTGCCACAGGCCGTGCTCAGTGGGATGATCTCCGAGGAGCTAGCCCAGCTCCTGCAGGACGAGTCCCGCTACGAGAAGGACCTGACTGACCCCATCTCCAAGGAGCGCCTCAGCTACAAGGATGCCATGGGGCGCTGCTGCCGGGACCCCCTGAGCGGCCTGCTGCTGCTGCCCGCCGCGCTGGAGGGCTACCGCTGCTTCCGCGTCTCCTCCCCTAGTCTGCCACGCCCCCTACGCTGACGGGTGCCCAGCAAGTGAGCGAGCAAGTGGGGTGCAGGGGCAATACTGGTGGGAGAAGGGAGAATGCATGTGCCCCTTGCCCCGGGGGCGCCCTCACCCCAGGCAGGGGTCTCCCCTCTATTTGTCTTGTTACTCAACCGTAGGTGGTGTTAGGCTGCTTCCTTTTGCCCAGCCCTAGTTTTCCCCACCCAGCACTTCCAATAAACGGCTTCTCCCAGAACGTGTCCTATTTGCACTTAGGACCATAGGGGTCTGAGGTTGGGCATGGGACAGTACCACATGGGTCCTTCCTCCAGGACAGGGAGCATGCCTGGGCATGGGGTGTGCAGTGTCACGCTGCCACGGGGTGAGGACACAGGACATGCCCCGCCCCCTTCCCCACCATCTCAGTTTGGGGTCCTCTACCAATTCCCCATGCCAGACCCAGACAGAAGAATCCAGAACACTTGGGAGCACATCAGGTTTTATTCATGGGTCAAGATGGGCAAACCAACATTGGCGGATCTTAGGTGAGGTGACACCACTGAGAGCAGCTGTGCTGTCCCTGACTTCTGTCTCACCCCCTTCTGTTTAACTTGTAACTCTGAACTCAACCCTGCTCCCCAAACATGTGAAATCCAAAGAGAGACCAGCAGGGGGTACTCTTTCCCAGGCTTGGCTCTGCATGAGCTTCAGGCTGGCACAGGGTCAAGGGGCATGGGGGAGGACTCTGTCCCCAGCCATGGGCACCTGGCTGTTGGGGCACTGGGGACTACATCACTGACAGACCCCCCTCCCCACCCTTCCACCCATCACTGGTCATGAGGCGCTCATGTCCAACTCGTAAACAATTTGGAACTCATGAACCTGCTGGTGGGGGTCTAACTAGACTCAGGCCTGCCATGACTGACATCAAATGCCTGAGCTCTCTGTACCTGCCCGCAATGGGGAGCCAGGGCTGCTGGGAGCCCTAAGAGCTGAGCCTCAGTGGTAGAACCGCCCTGGCACACACTGGCGGGACGCTGAGGAGGGCTCGGCAGATGAGAAGTATGGGTGGGCCAGGGCAGTCTTGGCTGAGATCCTCTGGTTGGGGTCATACTGCAAGAGTTGCTGGGAAAGAAGGCAAGTTCACAGGTTGGGCGTGGTGAGGATCAAGGAGGCACCACCACCCAGATCCCCATGCCCCCAGCTCCCATCCCTGGCTTAGATCTCTAACGCCTGTGGACCCTCCCAGAGAGTGTGGCGACAAGGCCAGCTGCAACCCAGCCCTGTGAGTCAGCGGCCGCCACCCGACTTCGGCTGCCCTCTGCCTGTGACAGCAGGCAGGCCCTGCCCCGCACAGGGCCCAACCGAGGTGGAGCAGGGTTTAAGGAGCAGGAGAGGGGTGGGCAGCGGGGCATGGAGGTTAAGCCACCACATTCCACAGGGAAGTGCCAGCTGGAGTTCCAGTTCAGGTCCAGGTCCCTAGGAATGTGCCTGGAAAGGAGGGTCCAAGTGGAAGAGCAAGGCTTCCTGGCTCCTGGCTGTTGTAAACTTTTGGGGAGCGGACCAACAGATGGAAAATCTGTCTTTCCTTGTCACTCTGCTTTCCAAATCAATCCATCTTTTAAGAACAAATAAAAGCAGACACGAATGCTGAGCCTATCCTGGGTGAGGCACCCTGATTGGGGACTGCCTCAGTACACACAGGCAGGCAGCTGTGCGCCAGGGCGAGCCAGGAGGCAGGACCAGGAACTGGCGAACGCAGGGGATTAGAGGGGGAGCTGGGGTGTGCAGGCACAGGGGCCTGTCCGACCTGCCCATACCTACCGTGAGCAGGTCCTTGCCCTCAGGCTCCAGGCTGGGGACGACCTCTTCCAGCCCCTTCCCGGCCCACTGGGGGAAGCTGCCTTTATAGTCGGGCAGCTGGGTGACACCTGGCCATATGGCCTCGCTTGGAGTCCCCAGGGTGCGAAAGATGCGGAAAAGCTGGTCAATCTCAGAGTCCCCAGGGAACAAAGCTTTGCGAGTCACCTGGAAAGGAGAGGAAGCCCACCCAGCACTTCGTCTCCAGAATCCAGCACAGACCATCAAGCACTGCTGGATCCAGGAAGCCAAGGTCAAAAACACTCCAGGGCCCTGCGCGATAGCGTAGTGGTTAAAGTCTCTGCCCTGAACACACCAGGATCCAAATAGGCGCCGGTTCCAATCCCAGCAGCCCCACTTCCCATCCAGCTCCCTGCCTGTGGCTTGGGACCCTGCACTCAGGTGGGAGACTTGGAATGGATCTCGGCTCCTAGCTTCAGGTTGGTTCAGCTCTGGCTGTTGCAGCCACTTGGGGAGTGTACCATTGAATGGAAGACCTTCCTCTCTGTCTCTCCTCCTGTCTGTAGATCTACCTTTCCAATAAAAATAAATAAATCTTTAAAAAAAAAAAAGAAAAAAGAAAAAAGAAACACTCCAAAAATCCTGGGGCCAGTGCTGGGGCAGAGCAAGCCAAACTTCTGCCTGTACTGCCAGCAACCCATATGGGTAACACTTCATTATCCCAGCTGCTTCACTTCCCCTCTAGCTGCTTGCTAATGCACCTGAAAAAAAGCAGCGAAAACAGTCCTAGAGCTTGGGCCCTGCACCCACATGGGAGGTCTGAATGAAGCTCCTGGCTTCTGGTTCCAGACTGGCCCAGCTCTGGCCTTGGTGGCCATCTGGGGAGTGAACTGGTAAATGGAAGATATTTTCTCTCTCTCTGCACATCCCTCTTTGTAAATCTGCCTTCGGCATCTGTGAGCCCATCCTATCCCACAGCTGCCCCCATCCCGGCCTGCCAGGCCCTCTGTACCATCTCAGCGAAGATGCAGCCAATACTCCAGATGTCCACGGCCGTGGAATAGAACTTGCAGCCCAAGAGGATCTCGGGGGCACGGTACCACAGGGTCACCACCTGTGGGCACGGGTTGAGGGGTTCCGTGCAGGTCTGGGGCAACCTCTGCCAATAGCCACCTCTCACCCGTGCCCCGTCATACCTCGTGGGTGTAGGTGCGCAGGGGCACGCCGAAGGCCCGGGCCAGGCCAAAGTCAGCCAGTTTGATGGCACCCAGCTCGCTGATGAGCAAGTTCTGTGGCTTCAGGTCCCGGTGGATGACCCGGTGGGAGTGGCAGAAATTCACTCCTTGCAGCAGCTGCGACAGGTAGCTCTGCCCAGTGAGAGAGAGAATGTGTGGGGGTCAGCTGAGTGGATGGGCGGGGCTGGTGCCTGCTTCCCACCCAGCCCCAAACCTTGACGAGGTGCGTGGGCAGCTTGGAGGCCGGTGTGGAGTCCATGTACTTCTTCAAGTCCTGGCTGACGAATTCAAACACCAGATACAGCTTCTTGTCATTGTGTACCACGTCTAGCAGTCTGGAGGGTGGGGAAGGGAGGGCTGCCAGTCAGCAGGTGGGGTGGTAGCAGACTGGGGGCACCCCAGCTTCCCTGCCTCCTCTGCCACCAGCTTACCTGACAATGTTGGGGTGCTTCAGCTCTTTGAGCAGTGAGATCTCCCTGATGGCCGTGCTGGGGACCCCCTCTGTCTCCCTGCAGGGTAGAGGGCACGGCCCTGGGTGAGGGGGACTCCACTTCTGCAGCCCTTGTGCCCAGGCAGATGGACTGCCCCCTGGGTGGCAGGAGGTGGGGGGAGGGAGCCCTTGTCCCTGAGACACCTCAAAAAGTTCAGGGGAGTTGGGTCAAGAGATGAGTCTTTTGGTACAAAAAATACATGTGAAATGTGTGCCTGGTGTTTTCTGCATGCACTGTTTCTAGAAACTCATTAAAGAGTCCTTGACTATCTGCTTTTTAAGAAAAATTTCTGTCCACCCCCTGAAAAAATTGATGCTTCAGTCCCATATCCGTGGATTTTCTGACCAGTCTCCACAGAGCCTGACGGAGACCGGGCAGGGAGTCGGGGTGAGCCCGGATGAGGGGTTACCCGGCCCCTGGCACAGCTGTGTGGCGCCAGCAGTCGAGAGGAGCCCTGGCCACTCAAGGAGGGGTGACGGGGCTGCCCCAGGACTCACAGATCCAGCCTGATCTTTTTGAGAGCCACGAGCTGGCCCGTCTCCTTGTTCTGGGCCTTGTACACCACCCCGTAGGTGCCCTCTCCGATCTTCTCAACCTTCTGGAACACGTCCATGACCACAGAGCTGTCCGGGAAAGAGCCGGCGTCCCCCACATTGGCGCTCCAGCCCCCTCAGCCGGTTCCCTCGGCTTCCGGTCAGCAACACCCTGCCCAGCCCCTGCCCGGGCTGCCTGGCTTCCCATCCCATTTGCCCCCAGCCCGTCCTGCCCTGGCGTTACGTTAGCCCGGACACTGCTGCTTGCTCAGCCCGAGCCCGGACCCCTAGGCCTCCGTACCCAGGGCCTGGCTGCCAAATGTGGGCCCAAACTTGTCCTGCCCCAGACCCTGCACCTGCCCAGCCAGGACCAGGGCTTTCAGAGCCCTAGGCCACCTGCAAGCGGGGCAAGGGCCACTTGGGGCAGAGGTCAAGGGTCAGGAAGGGCTTCTGAAAGCCACGGACCCGCCTTGAGCCTCAGGCTCCGAGGCCAGGGCCGGCCCGTTTGATGACGCTTAGCCTCCTGTGAGGGAAGAACTTGGCAGCGGTGGCCACCCCGCGTCCTCCAGCCCCCTGCCTCAGCTCCTGGGTCCCCCAGCACCCTCTCCTCAGATCCCCAGTCCAGAAGTCACCAGAAAACCGGAGCAAGCTGCAGCCTGTCAGAAGCGCGGGCTGTTCCGCGGCGCCCCTTCTGGACTCAGCCGGGACTGCACCACACGCACACTGGGAGGTCACGCCCTCTGGGGGGCCTTTATTTTTCACAGGGAGCTTCTGGAAGTTTCCAGAAGCCCACGGGAGACTCGGTCCCAGTCCTGCAAAGTGTGTTCCCCTGCAGGCTCTGGGTGTCACATCTTGAGGCTGCTCTACAGGCTGTCATTTCTAGGACAATAACAAACGCGGGGCGGGGCGGGGGGTGATCCCCTCCAGTGGGGAATGCTGGGGGAGGGGGAGTAGAAGAGGGAGGGAGAGCAGCCGCAGCCTAGTGGCCACTGAGTCTCTCTTGCTGGTACTCCCTCTGCTCGTGGATGGCTTGTTCCAGTAGGGGCAGATTCAGGCCCTCCACGCAGGTCAGCACCCGGGCCTTCACCACGGCACTGCCATCTGCAAGACACAAGCACCATGACGCTCGCTTGACTTGGGCCAGGTCCTAAGTTCTGCCAGTGGGGGAACGGGGCCAGGAGGACGGCCAATGGGGTGCTTGCACTGTCTCCGTGCGGACCTGGCACGCAGAGGAGAGCCTGTCAGCCCAGCTGGTGCGGATAGCAGAGACGTCCAGGGCTCAGCCCAGCAGGTGCCTCCAGAACTTGCTTTCTTGTCATCCCATCCTGTCCCGCCTGCTCCCAGGTCCTTGAGTGAAGCCACAGGCTATCCTGCTCTCCTTCTAAAGCTGCTCTGATAGTGCTGTCTGACCCTCCCAGTCTAGGCAGCCTGAGGCACTCAACAGGACAGAAGCCACACGCTGGCCATCTACAAGGGCCAGGGCTGGGGGATGAGTGAGGCTGCCCCGGTGTCTGTAAGACAGTGAGCTGTCCGCTTCACGGCTGCCTGTGGCCCTGAAAGGTTTTCACAGGGCAGCTGCCGGGGGTTCAGGACAACACTGGGGTGTAAGGTGGAGGTGGGGACAAGGACCAAATTAAGAGCTCTGATTTGTGGTTGGAGCTATGAAAATAATAACAATAATAATAAAGTCCGGACAGAGAACCTTATGTGGAACGTTTAGAAAGCATCAAGAGAGCATTTTCTTTCCTGGTAGTGCAGCTGGCAGCTGGCAATCGTGTTGTAGAGTCATCACTGCTGTTTGTGAAAGCAGAAGGGGGCCGGGCAGTGTGGCGTAGTGGTTAAAGTCCTTGCCTTGAATGTGCCAGGATCCCATATGGGGGCCAGTTTTAATCCCGGCAGCTCCACTTTCCATCCAGCTCCCGGCCTGTGGCCCAGGAAAGCAGTAGAGGACAGCCCAAAGCTTTGGGACCCTGCACCTGTGTGGGAGACCTGGAAGAGGATCTGGGTTCCTGGCTATGGGTCGGCGCAGCATTGGCCATTGCGGTCGCTTGGGGAGTGAATCAACGGATGGAAGATCTTCCTCTCTGTCTCTCCTCCTCCCTGTATATCTAACTTTGCAATAAAAATAAATAAATCTTAAAAAAAAAAAAAGAATTTGAAGGAAGCTAGAGACACAGCATTCACAGGGGCAGCCTGGGCCAGCTGCAGTGGGATGACCAGCCCAGGGGGTAGACAGATACGGGAAATTCCTTCTTGCCAGAAACCTAGGACAAAGAAAAAGGGGTTTGGGGGCAAAAGGCAGTGGGCATGTGGCAGGCTGAGACTTCAGTGGGAGAGGAGGGTGGGAGAGAATGCTGTGGCCCCAGCAAGTGTGTGCTGGGAGGAACACCTCAGACTGGAAGAGGGAGCGGGTGGAGGACACGGGCAAAAAAGAACAAAGCCCTATGTGGCAGGGTAGACCCCTCAGGCAGCAGGGCCCTCACCTCCTACTGGGAAGGGGCGGAGCCCGTGGCTCAAGAGTGAGACCCCAGTGGAGAGGCACAGGGGAAGAAGCAGGGGGTCTAGGTAGCGGGTGAGCGCCTGAGGCAGCCGCCACTGTGCCTGCGAGGGCTGAGCAGGACCCGTGCAGGGGCTGCGAGGCAGTGGGGCCTGATGAGATGGGACACCCTGAGATCTGTATACTCTGAATCCACAGGGTTTTTTTCTGAATCCACGAAGCAGCAGGGGTCTTTTGCACCCAAAGGTCTGACTAGGGAGGAAGCAAGCTGGGCCTTGGGAAGCACAAGCTCTGAAGTTGGGGCTGGGGTCACGGCACAGATGGTGAGGCTGCCCCCTGAGATGCCAACATCCCTTAGAAGCACCAGTTCTAGTGTGGCTGCTCCACTTAGGATCAAGCTGTCTGCCAATGCATCTGATAAAGCAGAGTGCTTGGACCCCGTCGTGCACACGCGAGACCCAGGTGCAGTTCCTGGCTCTTGGCTTCCGCCTGGCCCAGCTCTGGGTGCTGAGGCTATTTAGGGAGTGATTCAACAGGGGGAAGATCCCTGTCTCTCCCTCTCTGTAACTGCCTTCCAAATTACAAAGCAAAACAGGAAGGAAGGAAGAAAAGAGAACATGATTGAAGCAAGGGTGACAGCTATTGGAAGAAAGTGCCTCCAAGGATCCTGAGGGTGAGCCCAGGCACGTGGGGTTCTGGGAGGTCAGAGGTCAGTGTGGGGAGGTGAGGGGACAGGCAGGAAGAGAGGTGGGGCAGTACTGAAAGATCAGGTTCAAGGTGCAGCTGTGGGCGTGGGAGGCAGAAGTGGGGCAGAGGTGACAGGTGGCGTAACTGGCTGGCAGCAGGGAGGCAGAGAGGATCCAAGGAGCTGGCAGGGTTTGGTGTTTTCTGAGGTGTGTGTGGTTCGGGGGAGCCTGAATGGGGTCCAGGTGAGAGGACCTACCTGGACCGGGGGAAATCCACATAGCAAGGAAGCCCCAGAGAATGCAAGAGCTCAGCACAGAGGCACCAAGAGCCACCAAGCTGCTGGCGGACACGCAGTGGGGGTCTCTGAGGACAGGAAATGGGTCAGAACCAGTGAGACCAGTGATGAGATCACAAGGGCAGCCACCTGCTGTAGTCAGGGCACACAGGGGGCAGGTTGTGAGGGACGCCCCAACACCTGGATGGAAGCTGTCGTCCAGCAGGTGTCAGGCCCCCCACCTGCGTCTCTTCCTGGTTTTGGTCTTAGCTTGTTCATGTGCAATGAGTTACGGTGGCCTCTCACGTGTCCCTGGCACTGTCAGCCTGGCCCCAGGGTAGAATCCGTGTCTAACTGGCCTTTGTGTTCCCAAAGGACTTAGGACTTGGTCCTGGGAGGTTAAATTACACCTACCTGATGTCCTCTCTCTCCAGGTAAAAGGTCAGGGCCCCTCCCCCCTTATCAGTTTTTTTTTTAATTCCTCCTGGGTCAGCTGCAGATCTTGCACGTGAACGATCCAGTATCAAGGAAAAGCACATTTTAGGGGCAAAGTAAAGTGCTGCTCCAGCTGCCAGCCAGGGGTTTTCACCAGGGCATTCAAGAGCTCTGCTTTGTGCCCTCACCCTGCGTCACCTCAGAGGCACAGCGCGTGCAGCTGCTGCCCTGTTTGTGAAGGTTTAGGGTTCAGGCCAGCTGCCAGGGAGGGCACATTCTGTCAGTCTTACCTAATCAGCTCAGTAGCCAGGGTGATCCCTGCCCGGATTCATTACTCATTATCGAAAAAACTGCTGCCTTGCACATTTCATCGTTTCTCCTGAGTGAGTCTTCTCTAAACAACCTTCCCCTGGGGACCGGCACTGTGGCACCAGAGGTTATAGCCATCACCTGCAGCGCTGGCATCCCGTGTGGGCAAGGGTTCGAGTCCCGGCTGCCCCACCACCAATCCAGCTCCCTGCTAATGCACTCGGGAAAGTGGCAGAGGATGGGCCAACTGCTGGAGAGACTTTGAAGCTCCTGGCTCCTGCCTTTGGCTTAACCTAGCCCCAGTTAGTGAGCCATCTGGAAAGTGACCTAATGTACATAAGACTTTCGCCTTTCAAGCACAGGCAATAAATCCTTAAAGAAAAAAAGAGAAGCTTCCCTCAGGCAGAGGTAGACAGACAACACTTGGGACACCTAGAAATCCCACCCCGCTGAAACAATTACTAGGAGGATTTTGATAAATAATCACGCAACTTCCACATGTCTATAAAAATCTGGGTATCGGTGGGGAGACTGGCATCAGGTCTTCCCCTCCACAGATACCCATGGGGACGCATAAGTTCCTTACGTAAAATGGTAAAGTCTTGGGCCTGGCACAGTAGCTAGTAGCTAAAGTCCTCCCCTTGCATGCATCAGGATCCCATATGGGCACTGGTTCTAATCCTGGTTGCTCCATTTCCCATCCAGCTCCCTGCTGGTGGCCTGGGAAAGCAGTAGAGGACGGCCCAAAGCCTTGACACCCTGTACCCACATGGGAGACCTGGAGAAAGCTGCTGGCTCCTGGCTTCGGATCAGCTCAGCTCTGGCTACTGTGGCCACTGGTGAGTGAATCATCAGACAGAAGATCTTCCTCTCTGTCTCTCCTCCTCTCTGTATATCTGCCTTTCCAATAAAAATAAAATAAATCTTTAAAAATAAATAAATTAAATAAAGAACAACACCATTTTTAGTGGCTACAAAATATTGTTCTGGCTGAATAGACCATAAGGACTTTAGCCCATAACTACAATATATGTGCAAGAAGAGACAGCAGAATCAAGCCAAGACCCAACTCCTGAGCAGGTTGGGATATACAAGGAGCTTACGAGACATTCTAAGGCTGCTAACCGTTATACCTACTAAAAACCTGGAGCTAAGGTAAGCCAGAACAACTGGATATAACAGACAGTATGGGGATCAGTTATGTGAAGGAAAAATGAGGGGCTGGCATTGTGGCACAGTGAAGTAAGCCACCAACTGTGACACTGGCATCCTATATCACAATGCAAGTTCGAATCCCAGCTGCGCCTTCTCTAACCCAGGTTCCTGTGAACATCCCTGGGAAAGCAGTGGAAGATGGGGCTCTGCCAGTACAGTGGGCCACCAGGATGGAGCCTGCGGCCTCTGACTGCTGTCTGGCCCAGCCCTGGCTGTTACAGCCATGTGGATAGTGAACTTGTAGAGAGAAAATCTTTCTCTTGCAATCATTCTGCCTTTCTTTTCTTTCTTTTTTTTTTTTTTTAAGATTTATTTATTTTTATTGGAAAGGCAGATATACAGAGAGGAGAGACAGAGAGGAAGATCTTCTGTCCAATGGTTCACTCCCCAAGCGGCTGCAACCACTGGAGCTGAGTCAATCTGAAGCCAGGAGCTCTTCCGGGTCTCCCATGTGGGTACAGGGTCCCAAGGCTTTGGGCTGTCCTCGATTGCTTTCCCAGGCCACAAGCAGGGAGCTGGATGGGAAGTGGGGCCACTGGGATTAGAACCAGTGCCCATATGGGATCCCGGGCGTGTGCAAGGCAAGGACTTTAACCACTATGCTATCACACCAGGTCCCATTCTGCCTTTCAAACAAACAAAATAGATATTTCTTTTTAAAAAGAAACAAAATGAAACAGAAATGTAACAGAAACAAGTACAGAGAGCTAATAGGCCCAAATTACTAACTGTGGTGGTTATTTCTGGGTAGGATTACAGTGATTTCTGGTTAAACAATTATTGATTGTATTTGAAAGTCAGACAGAGATCTCCCTTCCACTTGCTGATTCACTCCCAAAAGACTGAAGGGTTAGAGTTAGGGCTGGACCAGGCCAGAGTCAGCAGCCGGGGACTCCATTCAGGTACCTCCCACGCGCACCAGGGTAAGCATTAGCTGGAAGCTGGGATTGGAAGTGGAGCTGTTACTCAAACTAGGCACTGTGACCTGGCACCATAGGATGCTTTCATTCCTCACCTTGCACTGGCCTTCTTGCCCAACTGCCTGGCTCTTCCCGCAACCTCACCCTCTCTGAATCTTGGGCTTCTCTCAGAGACAAGCAATGTGACTCTGGTCACGGGTGGCTGGGCAGACTCCAACATCCCAAGCACCACTCCTCAGGCTGGGGTGCATTGCAGGCCTTGGGAAACGGGCGGCTCCCCTCTGTCCCTCTGCTTCCCATGGCTGCATGGCTCCTCTCTGCCTGCTAGGGCTACCCTAAGTACCAACAGGCCTTGAGCCTCAGGCCGATCTGGGAGGCGATCTAACCTGAGTGGCTGCTCTTGCGTCAGGAGGCAGGTCGACCCCTCATGGAATCCCTCGGATAGCTTCCCTGCCTGGGCAGGTGTCACACCCCTCAGATAGCTTACCTGCCTGATGCTCCAGCTCGCCCAGGACGATGTAGAGTGAGCCCAGCTGGGCGTGGAAGGGCTCCACCAGCTTGCTACAGACCAGAACTTCATGTTGCTGGGATTCATGCAGAGCTGTCAGCGTCACTCTGGACTCGGACATCCTGTAGGCGCACAACCTGCAGTGCAGAGAAAGGCCGTTCCACAGCCTCAGACTTGAACAGGTCTGAGGAGGACTGGGGGACTGGTGCAGTGTCTCAATCCCTGTTGGGACTCCCTGGGCTTCAGTGCTGGTTCTACTTTCAAATCCAGCTTCCTGCGAATGCCCACCCTGGTGGCAGCGGCGATGGCTTATGCTCTTGGATCCCCTGCGTGGGAAGGCGGGCTTGAGCACAAGTCTCCTGCCTTTGGTCTGGCCCTGCTCTGGCTGTGGCGGGGACTCAGCAGGTGAGCTGGTAGATGGAGGATCTCACTCAGAATCTGAATCTCTCTCTACCTTTCAAACACAACACTGATCAATTTTGTAAAATAAAAAAAAAAAGTTTAAAAAATTATTTTGGGAGGCCAACAATCCCATGGCAAAGTATTTGGCCCTAATCTGATCAAAGGAAAAAATGTTAACAATAACAAAGGGAAAAAATGTTCAGTCTCCAAGCAGAGCAGAAGGGGACTGCCTTTTTATTTATTTTTGTACAGATTTGAAAGGGTTAACTGTAAGGTGGTTGTACTCCTGGCGGGCTGCAATCTCCAAAAAGACCCCTGCATCCTGTTGGAAAAGCTCCTGCTCCCTGACACACCTGGAGGCATTGTGGAGCTTTACGGGAGAGATGCTGCTGAGGCATGCTGTTTTACTACTGTCTGCATTTAAGTGATAGGACCAGGATCTCAAGCCTATGCATTAAATTTCCTGTTTTTTTTTTTTTAAAGATTTATTTTGATTATGTTTTTATTGGAAAGGCAGATATACAGAGAGGAGAGACAGAGAGGAAGATCTTCCGTCCGATGATTCACTCCCCAAGTGAGCGCAACGGTCGATGCTATGCCGATCCGAAGCCAGGAGCCTCTTCCGGGTCTCCCACGCGGGTGCAGGGTCCCAAAGCTTTGGGCCGTCCTTGACTGCTTTCCCAGGCCACAGGCAGGGAGCTGGAAGGGAAACGGGGCTGCCGGGATTAGAACTGGCGCCCATATGGGATCCCGGGCGTGCAAGGGGAGGACTTAACCACTTGCGCCACCGCGCCGGGCCCCTAAATTTCCTTTTTTTAAAAAAGATTTATTTTATTTTTATTGGAAAGGCACATATACAAAGAGGCAGAGAGACAGAGAGAACGATCTACCATCTGTTGATTCACTCCCCAAGCGATCTCAACAACTGGTGCTGTGCCAATCTGAAGCCAGGAGCCTCTTCTGGGTTTCCCATGTGCATGCAGGGTCCCAAGGCTTTGCACTGTCCTCCACTGCTTTCCCAGGCCACCAGCAGGGAGCTGGATGGGAAATGGGGCTGTGGGATTAGAACCGGTTCCCATATAGGATCCTGGCACATGCAATGCAACGACTTTGGCCACTAGGCTACCATGCTGGGCCCCTACACTTGTTTTGTTCAATGCACTTCCTGTTCATGGCAAGAGGTAGACGCCCAACTGAACATTAAAATCATTTCGCTCACCTTGGAGTCTCACAAAATTTTCTTGAACTCTTACACAGATTTATTTATTTTTATTGGAAAGACAGATTTACAGAGAGAAGGAAAGACAGAGAGAAATACCTTCTACCCACTGATTCATGGTTGCAACGGCCAGAGCTGAGCTGATCCAAGCCAGCATCCAGGAGTCCTCTCTGGATTTCCCGCTTTGGTGCAGGGTCCCAAGGCTTTGGGCCATCCTCTACTGCTTTCCCAGGCTACCAGTAGGGAGCTGGATAGGAAGTAGAGCAGCCAGGACACAAACGGGCACTCTTATGGGATCCCAGCACTAACAGGGGAGAATTTAGCCACTGAGCCCAAGGAAATTCTTCCACCCACCAAATAATTCAGCATTTTCAATACCACTTGTTGAAACTTTCCCATCAAAATAGATCAGCATCTTTGTTGAAAATCTTTGCACTCATGTGATTTATTTACATTTTTTATAACAGGTATTTTTTTAGCATTATTTATTATTTCTATTGGGAATTCAGATATACAGAGAGGAGAGTCAGAGAGGAAGATCTTCCATCCAATGGTTCATTCCCCAAGCAGCTGCAACGGCTGGAGCTGAGTCAATCTGAAGCCAGGAACCAGGAGCTTCCTTGGACCTCCTGGGGGGGCAGGGTCCCAAAGCTTTGGGGCTTCCTCGACTACTTTCCCAGGCCACAGGGAGTTGGATGGGAAGCAGAGCCGCTGGGATTAGAACCGGCACCCATGTGTATTCTGGCGCATTCAAGGCAAGGACTTTAACCACTACGCTAAACTACCATGCTGGGCCCTGTAGTAACTAATTTCATTTTTTTTGGTGGGAGTGAGTGCAATTTTAACATTCCCGCTCACCTCCACCTGTGACGACACAACAGTCTCACCTGCCGAATGTCCTCAGTGTGCTGCCGTCAGGGAGGTGGCCGGCACTGACCTCCCAGGGGAAGTAATAGACGCCCGGCTTGGGCAGCATTGCTGGCTCCTGTCACCAGAGCGGCGAAGATTCCTGAAAAACCAAGCAGACCACAGGACAGAGATCAGCTAGCTGATGCACAGGGCCAGTAACATCTTCAAGACCACGTCTAGAGTTTCAAATCAAAAAGGTTTTTCTATAGAAGCGTTCATGAATCTCAAAACAACAGAATAATGTGGTTGCTGCTGCCACCTGTGGTGATGGCCCAAGCCGCTGGGTCTCCGCCACCCTAGGGAGACACCTCGATTGAGTTCCTGGAACCTGGTGTCAGACTGGCGCAGGCCCAGCTGTAGCAGCATTCAGGGAGTAAACCAGCAGATAGATTTCTTCTGTCTTTCAAATAAATAAACTGAGAAAAATTTTGCTATCTTTTTTTTTTTTTTAATATATATAGTTGTTATTGGAAAGACAGATCTACAGAGAAGAAACAGAAAGATTTTCTGTCTGCTGGTTCAGTCTTCAAGTGACTGCAATGGCCAGAGCTGAGCCAATCTGAAGCCAGGAGCCAGGAGTCCTCTCTGGATCTCCTGCTTTGGTGCAGGGTCCCAAGGCTTTGGGCCATCCTCGACTGCTTTCCCAGGCCACAAGCAGGAAGCTGGAAAGGAAGTGGAGCAACTGGGGACACAAATCAGTGCCTATATTGGATCCTGGCGCGTGCAAGGTGAGGATTTAGCCATTGAGGCATTGTGCTGGGCCCAGTAAGAAAATTTTAACAGGGGCCCGGCAGCATGGCCTAGCAGCTAAATCCTTGCCTTGCTGCCCCGGGATCCCATATGGGCGCTGGTTATAATCCCAGCAGCCCAACTTCCCATCCAGCTCCCTGTTTGTAGTCTGGGAACCCAAAGCTTTGGGACCCTGCACCTATGTGGGAGACCTGGAGGAAGTTCCTGGCTCCTGACTTCGGATCCGCACAGCACTGTTGGTTTGCTCACTTGTGGAGTGAACCACTGGAAGGAAGATCTTTCTCTCTGTTTCTTCATCTCTCTGTATATCTGACTTTGTAATAAAAATAAATAAATCTTTAAAAAAATTTTTAACAGAAAAAAAGACACACTAACAATATTGTATTAAATCACATTCAGTCTATGTATACAAGGTACATGGGAAATAAAAGAATTTCATGTTTAGACTTGGGTCTCATCCTAAGGTACCCCAATACGCATATGCAAATATTCAAAAGTTTTTAAAAAATGGAAACATTTCTGGTTGAAGCGTTTGGAATGTGGGAGGCTAGAGCTGTAGAGCAGTGAGGATTCACCAGTTAGTGGTCCGTGACATAAGAATGCTGATTCGTGACCATCAGCTGTCTGACAGGACACAAAGTGCAGCTATTAACTCAGGTGGTCGGTCACTGTGGTACCCCAAGACCCCTGAAGACAGCAGATGGCACAGCTGGACAGGCCAGTGAGAGTCATGCACAAGTGGCTTTATCATTCTCTAGTGGGAGGTCACCTGTCTGGGTTGCAGGTCAGCGCACCAGAGTGTTTCAAGACAATGTGCCATGAACTGATCTGGTGAGGGCAGAGTCACCTGCTGGTCCCTGCAGGCTGGTGTGCCTCACTGCGGCCAGGAACCAGACGCAGCAGTGAGGGAGCCCCCAAACTGCCTCTCGGCATGACAGAATCCAGAAACAAAATCAACACCCAAAGCAAGAGAGACAACCAGGAAAACCAACCGAAGGACCATGGCACTCGTTTGGGGTCACCAAGAATGACCCTAGCCAGCCTGGCAGGGATGCTAGCAAGCAGGTGTGGCTGTGACATGGCTTGGCCCAAGTGGTGCCCAGTTCATGGTGCCCAGGTTCCAGGCGTGGCTCCGCTTCCCTTCCAGCTTCCCACCAGTGCATACCCCAGGAGGCAGCAGTGGATGGTCCAGGCAGTCAGAGCCCTGCCACCTACACAGAAGACCCAGCTTCAGCTCCCAGCTCCTGCCCAGGTCTGGCCCAGTGAAGGATGCTGGGTAGTGGACTAATAGATGGACGATCTCCATCCCCGCCTTTCAAATATATAGCAAATATATATACATACATACATATTTTAAGAAACATTATATATATATATATATATATATATATATATATATATATATATCATCTTAAGCTTCAGAATCTTTTAAATATGCACTTATTTGGAAGATAGAGCTACCCTGTGCTGGTTTATTCTCCAAATGCCAAAATAACTAGGGTGAGCTGGAACTGGGGCAAGGTTCAAAAGGGAGGACCAAAACTGGGAGCCAGGAACATAATGCAAGCCTCCTATGCGGGTTGTAAGAACTCAATTACTGGGACCAATATGGCAGCTCAGCAACCTAATTCCCTGCCTGCAAGCACCAGTATCCCATAAGGGCACCAGTTTGTGTCCCGACTGCTCCACTTCCCATCAAGCTCTCTGCCTGTGGTCTGGGAAGCTGGGATCAGGAGCTGGACCTGAAGAGCTGGAGAGGAGTCCAGACACTTCAGTGGGAGGTGTAGCTACCACTAGATAAACTGGTCATTCTTTCAGAACCTTTTTAAAGGTAATTCTGTTTGGCCCAACATGGTAGCCTAGCAGCTAAAGTCCTCACATTGCATGTGCCAGGATTCCACACTGGTGTCAGTTCTCATCCCAGCAACCCTGCTTTCCATCCAGCTCCCTGCTTGTGGCCTGGGAAAGCAGTCGAGGATGGCCCAAAGCCTTGGGACCCTGCACCAAAGCGGGAGATCCAGAGAGGACTCCTGGATGCTGGCTTCAGATTGGCTCAGCTCTGGCCATTGCAGCTGCTTGGGGAGTGAATCAATGGATGGAAGATCTTTCTAAGTCTCCTCTCTGTATATCTGACTTCCCAATAAAAATAAATAAATCTTAACAAATAAGAAAGCTTAGGCCTGGTGCAGTGGCCTAGCAGCTGAAGTCCTTGTCTTGAATGCGCCAGGATCCCATATAGGCACCAGTTCTAATTCCAGCCACCTCAGTTCCCATCCAGCTCCCTGCTTGTGGCTTGGGAAAGCAGTCGAGGACAGTTCAAAGCCTTGGGATCTGGCACCAGCATGGGAGACCTGGAAGAAGTTCCTGGATCCTGGCTTCAGATCAGCACAGCACCAGTTGTTGAGGCCGCTTGGGGAGTGAATCATTGGATGGAAGATCTTCCTCTCTGTCTCTCCTCCTCCCTATATTTATCTGACTTTCCAATAAAAATCTTAAAAAAAGGAATGAGCCTTCTGTTAAAAAAAAAAAAGGTAATTCTGTCACATCCAAGTACCAGATATATTATACAGTAAAGTACTAAGTACCTCTGTCACTAATTGTATACTTATTGTTAAAATTATCATACAGTAGGACCAACCCTTTGGGGAGGATACATCTCTGTAAAAGCAAACTTCATTAATTCTGTTTAAAAACTACATTTGCTGACCTGTGTGGCACCATGAATTTTTATCACATGAAGAGTCGAGTCACAGCACATTTTGTACTGCGACCTCTGTAAGTTGTATTACACGAGGACTCACGCAGATTTGGATGTAACTCAACAAAATGAATGCTTCAGTAACTAAATAAAAGGATTGTTGATCATGCTGTTCCAGGTTTTGCAATCACCAGAGTACATGGGATCTAACAAATCATCTACGGGTACCAAAGTCAAAGGAGGAACAGGTCTCGCCCTTTGTCCCACATACTGCTCAAGCACAACAGAGAGAAGGCACTTCCCAGGTGGGGGGGACTCCAGGGAAATCAGAAACACAGCAACCCCCACCCCACCCCGCGTGATGCTGTGAGAAGGGAGCGTGGTGCTGGGGGATTCCTGCCAGAGATGTAGCCTCTGAATCTGCTCGTGAAGAAACACGAGACAAATGCCAACGGAGGGACACTCTACAACCGGCACGCATCCTTCAAGTCAAGGTCACAGGGGACAAAGAAACTGCTCTAGCAGCCAAGGTCAGCAAACAGGACAGCAGTGCCAGGTTGCATGGTGGGCCCCAGGCAGCCCTCAGCACGTGACGCTTCTGCACACAGGGATTCGGTGGAGGCCAGCATGTGCACACACAAGAAAGTCCTGTGGGTAGACAAGGGGGACAGTTGGACACGGACGAGGGCACAGGGAGCAGGCCACGTGAAAAGCATGGCAGTGTGACCTGGACACAAGGCAACGCATGCTGTGCCCAGCACTGCCAACACACTGCCCAGGAAGCCAGGACTAGCAGGCGCCAGCAGTCGGCACCTCAGTGTTGTCTCAGCACCGACAGCCGACACATTTCTGCCGTGAAGTCACTCTGGTTTGTGGTACACTCCCAGGACATCATCCCAGTATATTAACACAACTGCAGGAGATGCCTCATCTCAGATTGGGTCTCAGACTGGGAAGAAGAATGTGCATTAAGGAGATGGGTGGATGATTATAAAATGGGGGAAAAAAACTGCTGATCAAGTAATAATAGCATATAATTGTTAAATTCCTAAACTGGTAATGGTCCTGTAAAGCATGTTTGCTTCCAGGAAAACAGAGCGAAGTATTCACGAGTGATGGGCAGGAAGGACTTGGGCACTATGTTCCCGAATGGTTTTTGGGAAAAGCAAGCCCAATAGACTGGCATGAGGAAGAGACAGCACTCATGGCCAAACATTAACAATGGGTGAAAGGTTTCTCCATACCATCATCTCTTCTTGCAATCTGAGTGTGTGTGTGTGCGTGTTTAAAGATTTATTTATTTGAAAGGTAGAGTTACAAAGAGAGCTAGTGAGAGATCTTAGATCTTCCAAATGGCCACAATGGCCAGAGCTGGCTCAGCCCAAAGCCAGGAACTCACATCTCTCTCCGGGTCTCCTACACGGGTGCAACGGCCCAAGCCATCCTCAGCTGCCTTCCCCGCTGCACCAGGAGGGAGCTGGGCTGCAGGTGGAGCAGCCGGGACATAAATGAGTGCCTATACAGGGTGTCAGTGCTGGTGGCAGTAGCTTAACCCACTGAACCACAATGCTTGTCCCACTCTTGCAATTCTTGTTTGAAATTATTTGAAAAAATAATAATAAAAAAAAAGACAAAACTCACTAACTCTAAGATCTTTATCCAAGCCTATTCTACTTACTGCTGCACCCACCCAGTCACCATTACATTAAGAATGTTGAAGGACAAAGTCATAACCATCTAGTTTAAAGTTTATGCTGGGTTGTAGTTTTTATTCTAGAATTGGCAATATTTTGTCCCATAACATAGGGTACATGGGGCTAGCACAATAGCCCAGTTTGCTAATCCTTCACCTGCAAGTGCTGGGATCAGAAATGGACTCTGGTTTGTGTTTCAGTGCTCCACTTCCCACCCAGCACCCTGCTTTTGTCCTGAGGATGGGTCCCTGTACCTGTGTGGGAGACCTGGAAGAAGCTCCTGCCTCCTGGCTTTGAATCAGCTCAGCCGCAGCCATTGTGGCCATCTGGAAAGTGTTAACAGTGGATGGAAGATCTTGCTGTTGTTTTTCTATAAATTTGCCTTTCCATTAAAATGAACAAGTAAATCTTAAAAAAAATAGAGTACTTATTCTGAAAAGAGGATATTTATTATAGCCAAAAATGCTTTTGCAAATTTAAGATAATGGTTAAACGAATTAATTGAAAATGGGAAGATTGTCAATAAAATCTCCCCAACACACAGATGGAAAAGTCCTGAAAGAGAAAAAATTAGAGAAAGGGTAAGAAAACCATTCACGTAGGGGTACAAAGCCCTAACAAATTATTTCCAAACAGATGGGGAGAGAAAAGCTGAAGAGCAAAAGCCACGCCAACCCCAGTGGGAGGGGGTGTCTTGCGCAGTGGCTGGTATGCCTGCACTGATAGCCGAGTGTCTGGGCTTGAGTCCCGGAGGAATGACTGATCCAGGCGCTCCCTGAGAGGCAGCAGGGCCAGCTCAGGACTGGGGTCCCCGACGCTCACGTGGGAGACCTGGATTGAGTCTTGGGCCACTGGCTTCCACCTGGCCCAGCCCTGGCTGATGTTGGCAGATGGGGCTTAAAGTAGCAGACAGAAGAGCTTCTCTGTCTCTTTCTGCCTTTCAAATAAATACAATTTTTAAAACACAGCAAACAAGTGTTGCAGGATGGAATAAAAACTTGGATACAGTTGAAGGGTTTAAGCTAGAAGAAATGTGAGATCAGATGCAAAGACACCAGAATCAAACTTCCTCATCTCCTGAGCCCTTCACCCTGCAAACACACATCCCTGTCTTTCCAATAACAGCAACACAGGTGTCTAACCATACTGCCCAGCACTTTCAGGGGTGGTTTCCCAACTCCACTCACCCTGTGGGCATGCCCTGTTTCCCAGCTGATACCCCTTCCATTTAGTTGGGTCCTTGGGAGGGAGGAGAAACAGGCCCTTGGATCCGAACCAAGACTTGTGCTTTTAAATACAACCTCCAATCCCACCTTGTCATAAAGGGAGCGCCTGCCTTTTGTCTACTCAAAGCAAGGAATCATTCCTTTTAAAAATATAGACCATTTAGTTTATTTAAAAGTTGGAATGGCTGAGAGATGTCCCTGTACTGGTTCCCTTCCCAAAATGGAACAAGGGCTGGGCTGGGAAGCCAGGAGTCAGGAGCACCCTCCAAATCTCCCAGGTGGATGATGCGGGTCCAGGTACTTGAGCCATTATCAGCTGTATTCCCAGGCCCACTTGCAGGAACGCAGATAGAAGTGGAACAGCCTGGATTTGAACCCCACTGTGTCACAAAGCAGGTGTGGCTGCTGCTACTCTTGTTCGTCTCAACAACAAGAGAGACATCATAAACCTCAAATCTTAGTGGACTCAAGGCTCCCTGTCTAACCAACAGTGTCCAAACATACAGAAGCCCAGGAAAATGTTACAGGTAACCCTAGAACAGTAAGATCCACATCCAGACCATAGTGAATTTCACAGCACACACACACACACACACACACACACACACACACACACACACACACAGGAATTTCACAGCACAATGACCTAGTTTTGATGCATGGGGAAAACAGAGACCTTAAGAAAAATCCATATTTTCCAACCGCGAAGTGTTGACCCTGTACGGACCCAAATTTCTGTAGTTCATTTCTTTGTGTGTGTGGCACAGTGGGATAAGCTACCATGTGCAAGGATCAGCATTCTCTATGAGCACTGGTTTAGGTCTCTGCTATTAGTCATCCAACCCAGTTCCCGTCTAATCGACCTGGGAAGGCTGCGAAGGACAGCCCAAGCATTTGGGTCCCTGACACCCATGGGGCCCAGAGGGAGTCCTTGCCTTTCCCCAGGCTGATGCGATCATTTGTGAAAGGAACTAGAGGAGGGAAGATCTCAACCTCCATTTCTCTCTGTAACTCTGCTTTTTACAAAATTAACACATTTATAACACTGGAGAAACTTTACTATAAGCTGGGTTTGTGATGACATTAAGGAATTTTTGCTAACATCTTTAAGTTTTAGGATACTGAGACATTTAACAAAAAATTGTTCAGAGGGCCTGGTGTGGTAGCCTAGTGGTTAAATTCTCACCTTGCAACTGCCAGGATCCCATATGGGTACTGGTTCATGTTCCAGCTGCTCCACTTCCCATCCACCCCCCCTGTTGTGGTCTGGGGGAGCAGTGGAGGACAACCCAATGCTGCCTTGGGACCTATACTAATGTGGAAGACCTAGAGGAAGCTCCAGGTTCCTGGCTTCAGATCGGCTCAGCTCTGGTCAATGCGGTCAGTCGGAGAGTGAACCAGCGGACGGAAGATCTTTCTGTTGCTCCTTCTCTCCATAAATCTGACTTTCCAATAAAAAATAAGAATATTAAAAAAAATCTTTTGGAGAGGCTCAGTGGCTTAGCTTAGTGGCTAAGGTCCTTGTCTTGCATGAGCCAGGATCCTGTATTGGCACCAGTTCTAATCTCGATGGTCATGCTTCCCATCAAGCTCCCTGCCTGTGGCCTGGGAAAGCAGTCAAGGACGGCCCAAAGCCTTGGGACCCTGCACCTGTTTGGGAAACCCAGAAGAGGCTCCAGGCTCTTGGCTTCAAATTGGCTCAGCTCCAGCCGTTGCAGCCATTTGGAGAGTGAATCAACGGAAGGAAGATCTTTGTCTCTCCTCTTCTCTGCATATCTGACTTTCCAATGGAAAAAACATATATTTTGGAGATACACAGTGAAAGTATCTGTGGGGCCCAGCCCGGTGGCCTAGCGGCTAGAGTTCTCACCTTGAACATTCTGGGATCCCCTGTGGGCACCGGTTCTAATCTCGGCAGCTCCACTTCCCATCCAGCTCCCTGCTTGTGGCCTGGGGAAGCAGTCGAGGATGGCCCAAAGCCTAGGGACCCTGCACCTGTGTGGGAGACCTGGAGGAAGTTCCTGGCTCCTGGCTTTGGATCAGCTCAGCTCCGGCCGTAGCGGCCACTTGAGGAGTGAATCATCAGACGGAAGATCTTCCTCTTTGTCTCTCCTCTCTGTATATCTGCCTTTCCAATAAAAATCAGGAAATCTTTAAAAAAAAAAAAGTGTTTGTGAATATAGCATGAGATTTGTCTAAAGTCTCTGTGGTGGCAGAGTAGGTGGAGGCGTCAGTGTCGATCATGTTTACCCTGTAGACAGTTATGAAAAAGATTTATTGTCTTATTCTACCATGGGATATTTCAAAATGTAAGGCAGATCACAAAACTTTCTGTTAAAAGTCTGTGGAAGGCTTCTTATGATCGTGATTAGAACCGAATTCTCTAGCTGGGCCTGTCTGCACCTGCTGGCCTCTGCCTGCCACTCCCCGTTCCCAGTTCACTTGATCTTGGCCCTGCCCGCTGGCTTCTCCATAGACTTGAACAAGTTTCCCCAGCCCTGGGCTTGGCTGGTTTCCTGACATTCTGGTCCTAGTTCAAACACTTTCCCTCGAACCAGGTCTTCCTTGTCCACTCCACTCTATCTCAAATTGCATTCTCTACTACACCGATTATTCAACCGCCTCACTTTGATTAGTTTTTCTCCCCCCCCCCCTTTTTAATGAGTAGTACAGAGACAGATACAGCAGACATCAGCCTAGCCCAGCTCCTGGTCTCGCATGTGGACAGCAGTAACCCAATCACGTGAGCTCTCAACCGCAGCCATGCAGGGTTTGTCTTAGCAGGGAGCTGGCTCCAGCAGCTGGAGCTGAATCAAACCCAGATACGATGCCGCAGGACATGGTCGCCTCAACCACTACACATGCTTCTCGATATTTATTGAGTTTAAAAGAGGGAGACGACCCCCACCATCTCCACTCACTGAGCTTGCCCCAACTGTGCACTCAGGTGAACGGTTCAAGCATGATCAGATCTTTGGTCTACGGAGTTTCCTCTGAATTCTCTTGCCTGGGTGTTTGCACAAAATCAGGGCTGTAACTAACGTAAACTTCAGCGTGGAAGACTGACTTTAAGCCAAACTTGGTATTCCTCTCCCATCTCTGCCCTGCCCCTCCCGTCGAGACGCAGATAAAGTCCCAGGTAGTTTTATCTTATCGTCAGGCTATGCTGGCTACAAGGGCAGCGCCAGCTTTCGAGATGAAATCGTTCCAGGAAACCAAGAGAAACTACGTCTTGAGGTTTGAAAAGTATTCAAACAGCAAAACGCACGGTTCCAGCACAGGCCCGGAACTTCAAAAAATCTTTAAAACCTTATTTTGTTCATTGTAAATCTTCTTTGACATTATTTTTTAAAGATGTTTGCATGGAAACATATATATTTTTGGAGCTCCCTTACACTTGGCGTCCAAGGTAAGCTTACCCTATTCCCAGTACACTTGCTAGTAATAAATAAATAAGCAAGCCAGTCGGCCAAGGGCATTAGTACTAGTGTGCAGTTCAAACTGACCACAGTCCAGTACGGGGAACCCCGTACACTCCCACCCCTTCACACCAAGGACTCCCTAACCCCATGACTTCCGGCGACGCCATGGCGATCCGACCGGGAAGTGTGAGGCGGCCGAGTGCCACGGCGCAGGCGCAGCCCCGCCCCCTCCTGGGCCCCGCTGACCTGAGCCTCAGGTTCTGTCCGTCCCGCGGGGTCACCTGACAGGGCGGAGCGGGACGCCGGAAGCGCTCAACGCCCCCTCAGTGGGAAGATTCCTTGACTTTCTCTTGGCCGGCGTCCGCCCCTCGGGGGTCGCCGGTGGCCGGGCAGGGTCTCCGCGGGCTTGGGGCTCGGGCCTTGGTGTGCCGCACGGCGGGCCGCTCCCGCGCCGAGGGTCCGCGGGCAGGAGGAGAAGGGGCGGGCCGGGGCGGGCCGGGGCGGGCCGCGGCGGCCGGGGGCGGGGATTCGCGTCGTCCCGGGGCTGCTCTTAGAGCCGGACCCGCGCGGGCGCCACAGACACCCGTCGTCGTCGTCGTCGTCTCCGCTGCCACAGCCTGCTCAGCCGTCACCATGAACCCGGACCTGCGCAGGGAGCGGGCCTCCGCCACCTTCAACCCGGAGCTGATCACGCACATCCTGGACGGCAGCCCCGAGAACACCCGGCGGCGTCGGGAGATCGGTGAGGGCTGCGGGGCCGGCCTGCCTCCTTCCGCGGCGTGGACCCCCGAGAGGAAGGAGTCGGGGGACGCTCTGGGGCGCAGGCCCGGGGCCCCCCAGTCCAGGGACAGCAGTTCCCCTAGGCCGGCCCGGGGCTGGGGCGGGGGTCTGTCCTACCCCTGGATGACCCTCGCTCTCTTGCAGAGAACTTGATCCTTAACGACCCCGACTTCCAGCATGAGGACTACAACTTCCTCACGCGCAGCCAGCGCTACGAGGTGGCTGTCAAGAAGAGCGCGGCCATGGTGGGGAAGATGAGGGACTTTGGCATCGCAGACCCCGAGGAGATCATGTGGTTCAAAAAGTAGGTGTGCATGCCAGTCATGCTGGCCTGCTGGGTCAGCCAGCTGGGCATGGGAGGACTCAGACTGGCCAATTCCACTCCACCCTATTTTGCAGCTGAATGTGTGGGACATAGAACTTCCTTTTGTGTCTGTGCTTTTTTAGGTGGGGGGGGGGCGGCATCTCTACAATGCAGGAGTTCTCATGCCCCAAGAATGTTGCCAAAAAGTTCTCTGGGCCCCCAGTCACTCACTTTGGAGCAGTGTTAATATATGTGTTTCTCAGTTGCAAGACTGAAAGCAACAGCCGATCCCATTCCATGATTGTGAGGCTGCTGGATTTAAATTACCAGGACTCTGTGAGAATGGATGAGGGACTCAAACCACGGAATGAATATCAGGCGTTTCCAGGGCCCAGGGTTGTGGAACCGGAACTGTTTATAGATGGCTGTCTTGTGCAAAATCAGAACTCTGCCCTGTGTTCTAAATGAGAACTGTATTGTTACATGATCTTAGGATAGGATTCTTTGAGATTGTAGCATCTCTTGTCATATATGCCAGGGACTTCCTCTTTTGGGTTTCCATGGTATAGAGGAACCCCAGTGTTTGGCCCAGTAGGGATTTGGTTTTCTGAGTGCTGTGTTTCTAAGACCCAATATGTCACAGATTTGGTGTTTCTTGTACTACTTACTGCTGCCTGCTGCAAGTGCATTTTTTGTTTTTTTAAGATTTATTCACCTCTATTACAAAGTCAGATATACATAGAGGAGGAGAGACAGGAAGATCTTCCGTCCGATGATTCACTCCCCAAGTGAGCACAACGGCCGATGCTATGCTGATCCGAAGCCAGGAGCCAGGAACTTCTTCCAGGTCTCCCACGGAGGTGCAGGGTCCCAAAGCTTTGGGCTGTCCTCGACTGCTTCCCCAGGCCACAAGCAGGGAGCTGGATGGGAAGTGGAGCTGCCTGGACTAGAACCGGAGCCCATATGGGATCCCGGTGTGTTCAAGATGAGGACTTTAGCCACTAGGCCATGGTGCCGGGCCTGAGAGTGCATTTTTCAACATAACATGAACAAAACGGGTATTTTTTGGTCCACAGGACTTTATTTTAGTTCAGTCATTTTGCTTCTGTATTTATTTTTGGTGTCCCAGTGTGCTCACCAGCTCCCAAAGGCTCTTCCTTGTTTTTAAGTTTGTAATTCGTAGCTTTGGGGGATGGAAGTGCAGTAACTCCCAGAACATCATTACCAAATGACATGAGTCGGGCTTAAAAGTTCTCCACGTCAGTGAGGTTTTATCCCTCATTAAAGCAACACGCAGAGCAGAGCGTCCTCCTGTGGGTGTTTTTTCCTTGCTGGGTGGTGCCCTGTCAGCAAGGGCTGGGAGAGTTGATTTCCTAACAGGCTGCAGTTCATGTGTAACCAGGCTTGATTGAATCACGGTGAAATGGAACAGAGTCCTTTGTGTGGGTTAAAGGTCTGGGGACAGCAGCCAGTTTGTTGTAACATTTCATGTACAAAGTACATGTATCAGAGTACAAACTTGAGGCCCCCTTGACAGCCTGCCAGGGTCTCTTAGCTGTGACAAGGAGATTCGTTCGAGTTAGAGGATTGGGGAGTCTGTCCAGACAAGCACCAAACCTGGCCTTCAGAGTCCCCTTGGCATTGCACTCCCAGTGATTATAACCCAGCTGTGTTTGTGTGGGATTCAGAAGCAATGAATAATGGAACCAGTGAACTATGGCATAGCATTAATTGCAAGTTATGTTGGATTTCTTGTTAAAATGGGCAAAATGCTAGAATTGAAATATAGCAGTTTTTCTGAGACTTTTTTTTGACATTTAGTTATGTCTATTTTTAAAAAGGAGTTATTTATTTTAATTGGAAAGTCAGATATACAGAGAGGAGAGATAGGAAGATCTTTCATCTGATGATTCACTCCCCAAGCGGCTGCAACGGCTGGAGCTGACCTGATCTGAAGCCAGGAGCCAGGAACTTCCTCCAAGTTTCCCACGCGGGTGCAGGGTCCCTAGGCTTTGGGCCGTCCTCCACTGCTTTCCCAGGCCACAAGCAGGGAGCTGGATGGGAAGCAGGGTTACTTGGATTAGAACTGGTGCCCATATGGGATCCTGGCACATGCAAGGCGAGGACCTTAGTGACTAGGCTACTGCACCGGGCCCTGTTTGTCTTTTACATCAGTTTATTTTACTACAAAATGAAACTTATGAGGGGTTATTATTGTTATTATTATTCCCAAGGCAGAGTTACAGAAAGGGAGAGGCAGAGGGAGGGAGAGCTTCCTTCTGCTGGTTCACTCCCCACATGGCTGCAGTGGTTGGGGTTGTACCCTGCTGGGGCCAGAAGCCAGGTGCTTGCTCCAGGTGTCCACATGGGTACAGAGATGAATGCACTTGGGCATCCTCTGCTGCTTTCCTAGGCCATTTGCTGGGAGCTGGATGGGCAGCGGAGCAACTGGTACTTGAACTGGTGCCCATGTGGATTACCAGCACTTCAGACAGCAGATTAACAAGGTATATCACACTACTCACCCCCATGAGATTATTTTGAAGTTAGCTGAATATTGGTGACATTCTTGGAGATTTGTTGAGCGTTAGAACTCCAGTACTTGAGAAAATGGCCCTTAGTAGCTAGGGAGGATACATTTTCCTAATAGCTCTTCCTGTAATTTTTAACATACATGTTGCAATGAAAAGAAAATTCTAAAACCTGAGAGTAATTTAAACGTCTACTGACAATCATTCATGGGTTTTATTTCCCTTGTTTCTAGAGCTGGCTTCTGGGACTGTACCTATAGAAAGGATTTAATTGAATTTCAGAACAATCACCTGAGTTTGAATTAATTTTCAAGAAGCCTCAAAAAAAAAAAAAAAAACCAAAGCTTAATTTTTTTTAAAAGAACATATTTGGTAGTCTATTTTGTGTCCCATGTTTCCCACTGTTTCCTAGAATTGTTTTCCAAGCCCCAGGACACTGGACCACATTGCTTTGCTTTCTCAGTTCCCCTAGGGGAGCATGAGTGTCTTACATAGTCACCATGTTTAGTAACTGAATTACAGTATAGATATATATTTTTTCCTCAGAAACGCTTAGGAAAGGAAGTGGGTAGATGCTGGCTGGTTGCAGTAAGAAGTGCTTGTTGTGGAAGGATGTGCTGTTGCTCTCTGAGTTAGTGACCAGGGCTGTCATGGCTCATCCGGCTCCTGCTGCCTGCTCAGCAGCGTGTGTTACATAAAGCCAGAACTTGCTCTCTGGAGGCGCACTTATCTCCTGGCAGACTAAGTCACCTCTTCTGTCCACGTCCTTGCTCTTGCTCCCTCTAGCTCAACACTTGACTGTGAAAATCACAGTGGGGATTGACGTGTTAGCCAGTCAGTCTCTTAGTGCTTTGAAATCTGTCCCCAACCTCTCTGAGAAGTCATTTTTGTCCTCAGCTTGGGGCTGACGACAGTGGCAAAGGAAGTGTTTTTATGTGATGCCGAAGACCAGCTTCTTTTAGCTTGCACCTGTCTTAGCACACAGAAGGCGTTCTCTCTGGTCCATTCTGTAATGACTAAATTAATTCATTTTGGTTAATGGGTTAATCTCTAAGCATATACACAGAGAGAGTTTGCAAATGGATTGTTTTGTATAAGATAAGATAAGTGGATTGTGTTTTGTATAAGATAGGAAATCATTTGTGTACGCTTGTTTTGGAAATAGGAAAATGAGGGTATATTATATTTACTGTTGGTTTTTTTTAGATTTGTTTATTTATTTGAAAGGTAGAGTGATAGATCTTCCTTCCATCTGCTGGTTCACTGCCAGCTCACTGCCCAGATGGCCACCACTGCCGTGAGAATGGCAGCGTGCCCCTTCCTTCCCTTAGTTCATATCCCACTTATTATACAAACCAGGTGAAACTTGTGGTGACACTGCTTTCAAGTCATCCCTTTATTGAGCACCAGTTACATGGTGTACATTTTGTGCTTTAAGCTCTTCAGGTATGCTCTGTGAAGATACAAAATAGACTCTTAAGAGCTCTCAACACAAGATAGCCTAGGGTATCCAGAGTATTGTGACTGCCTGGTAGAGGCTATGACAAAGTGGTTAAGGACTCAATTTCTTTGTAAGTGAGTTAGGTTCCTAGACTGGACAGGGCTGACGCACACAGCGCAGACGCATTCTCTGCCACCTCGTGTGACCCGGGTAGCCCTTGGGGGTCCGCAAGCCTCCCTGGGATACACGTGTTCCCCTCCATGTGTCCTCCTTACGTTATCTAGGGAAAGACAGTTCTTTTTTTTTTTTTTTTTTTAAAGATTTATTTTTATTATTGTTTTATTGGAAAGGCGGATATACAGAGAGGAGAGACAGAGAGGAAGATCTTCCGTCCGATGATTCACTCCCCAAGTGAGCGCAACGGGTCGATACTATGCCGATCCGAAGCCAGGAGCCTCTTCTGGGTCTCCCACGCGGGTGCAGGTTCCCAAAGCTTTGGGCCGTCCTCTGCTGCTTTCCCAGGCCACAGGCAGGGAGCTGGATGGGAAGCGGGGCTGCCGGGATTAGAACCGGCGCCCATATGGGATGCTGGGGTGTGCAAGGCGAGGACCTTTAACCACTTGCGCCACCGCGCCGGGCCCGGGAAAGACAGTTCTAATTCTTCCTTAAGAGCTTTTGGTTACAGCTCTACCAGCACATATTCTGTTGAGTTCCTTTGATTGTCAAGGAAAACCTAAAAATAAAGCAAAACTTAAGAAGCCACACACTTAAAAAGTAACCCAGTCAAACCACCAAATAATACCAGCAAAACCAAAAATAAAGGGTTTCAGGTGAACACTTGGCTGCTATTTGTTTCCTGGATTAAGTATAGAATTTAAACAGGAATCCGTCTTTAGAATGGATAGAGGGAGAAAAAATACCACCAGGTCCTGCTGTTGGCTTTCCAGGTTATAAAATGGCAAAATTGATTTAAATTTACTTTTATAAGGAAGAAGTTTTTATGTCCCCTGTGCTTTATCCCAAGGGCCAGGCGGCTGGGCAGGCGTGGGCAGTGTGTCTCCCCTGTCATGCTACGGGCTGAGTGGGCGGCGGGCTGTCTCCCCATCCCTGTCCTGCAGGCCACATCTTCCCTGTCCCCATCCTGCGGGCCACGTCTTCCCCGTCCTGGGGCCATGTCTCCCCATCCTGGGGCCTCATCTTCCCTGTCCTGGGCCACATCTTCCCCATCCTGGGGCCATGTCTCCCAGTCCCGGGGGGTCCTGGGGCCGTGTCTCCCGGTCCTGCTCGCCAAGTCTTCCCGTCCTGGGGCCACGTCTCCCCATCCCCATCGTGCGGGCCACATCTCCCTGTCCTGCGGGGCCATGTCTCCCTGTCCTGTGGGCCGTGTCTCTGTCTGGAGTGCGGCTTAGACCCTTGTGTTTTCTCTCCTGTAGACTGCACTTGGTCAATTTTGTGGAACCTGTGGGCCTCAATTACTCCATGTTTGGTCCTACCTTGCTGAATCAGGGCACCACTGCTCAGCAGGAGAAATGGCTGCACCCGTCCAAAGGACTCCAGATAATTGGCACCTACGCCCAGACGGAGTTGGGCCACGGTCAGTCCACGTGTGAGGGTCCGTGGGGAACCCACCCCAGGGCTTCAGTTAACAGATGCTCCTGGCATTGGAGTTTTTTTTTAATTGCTATTGTGTAATTTTGGATTTTATTTTTAAATTATTGAATCACAGTTCAGCTTCTGGTCTTCTTCTGGTTCACTGTTTACTTCCCAGTGCCTTGGTTCAGGGCCCTGGTCTTTAACCATCCCTCAGGTTTCTCTCTTAAAGCCTTTGTAACCCCTCTTCACAAGTGCTGAGTACTTTGGGAAAGTGTGTCACAGCACCCATTCTGTTGGTTGGTATAGCTCTGTTGGAAATTCTTGAGAGGGTTAGTGTCTGTGTATTTGAAAGATACTCTTCTTAATGGAATGAAAAATATGGGCTTTAGTTGTTTTTCTCTACATTTGGAAAGTTATTTATTTGGAAGGAAGAGAAACAAACAGATTTTTGTCTGCTGGTTCACTCCCCAGATGCGACGACAGCCAGGGCTGGGCCAGCTTCCCCTGCGGCCTCCCAGGCTGTACATTAGCAGGGAGCTGGACTTGGGACAAGAGCCAGCACCCAAACCCACTGCAGTATGGGCTGCAGGTGTCTCTGTGGTGGCTTCACCACAGCACCTAATTCAGAATCTCAGATTGGAGCGTCTTAATTCATGGCAAATTACCACAACGGAAGAAAGAAAGGCCTGAGGAAGGGATGCAGGTGTTATGAGATTTTTGTGTTTGCTTTGCAAATTGGAGAGCATTTTCTGTCATAGCAGCTGAGAGATCTGCAGGTTTTGGTTATAATCTAACATTCTGGAATATCTTACTGAACACCTAACTTCAGGATGACCAGGACTGCCATGACAAGGCTGAAGAAAGGTTTTCTAAGGGAAGAAAGAGAACATTCTTTCTGTGATCTTCTGAAGATTGTGTGTGTGTGTGTACATGCATATAATCTGATTTGTATTCTAGAACTTGTAATGTTTTGTTGTCATCACTGTAGAAGTTGTTTGACCTACCGGTCATGCTACTCATCGTCGATGTGGACTGTGTTATATTCTGAGGCTAATGAGTTTGGCCTGAAGTTTCCACCTCTACTTGTGGAATACACTCAACATACACACATAGCCTGAAGTTTGACTGCTGTGAGGAGAAAGCAAAGACATGGACTTTACTGGTTTGAGTGAACAGAAACTGGACGACTGTGGGCAAGTTGGCATTTTTTAGTTTTCTTTCTCTTTTGCTTCTCGTTTGGGATGTTTTCTTGTACACATTTTAACTCAGTGGCTATAGTCTGGGGAACAGCACTGTATAGTTAGCTCTTGTTTGTTGCTGGATTTTTGTTGTTTGTATTCTTTGTTGACTTCTGTTCTTTTGCATGCAAGCCAATCAGTGTGTTGGTTAATTTGCATCTAGTGACTGAATGGACACACCGTTTGTCAGCTACTGAGATTGGCATTAGAGCAGTGTGTATAAAATGAAATCTTAAGTTCCAACACTCCAGAAAATTGATCAACGATAATTATCTGAAGTGTTCTCATAGAATTAGCTGTAGCTTTGGCTTTGGGATTTTTTTCCTCTTACGTTGCCATGAGTAGAGACTCAGTATAGTTCCGGCACATTCTAGGTTCCTTGAAGTTCTGCCACCTGTTCATTCTTCTAGAATGTCTTCTCTGAAAGACACAGAGAAATCCCAGCACACCTGCTCTGTGAATCTCTGGCCTTAACCAAGGGCAGAGATGTGGGCCCAGGAGGGCTCCCCTTCCAGGGATTGCCGTGAGAACAAACCTATAGAGATTGGTCATACTGTCCCCGATCACGGGTGCTGATGCAGTCTGACAGCAAGGAGCAGCCGTCTCCCCTCTGCCAACACAGGATGGGGAAAAAATCTTTCCTATCCCCTTTCTCCATACCTCCAACCCTCCCCACCCTAATCAGAGATCCACATGGGCATACATCCCTGTTAACTATGTAAACTATCAATAATAAAATAAAAGCTTTAAAAAAGAAAGAAAAAAATTGGGCAGATAACTAAAGAAAAAGGAAAAAGAAAATTGGTCCACAACAACCGTGCTGACCACACAGGTCGTTAGGACACAAAAGTAGGATTTTTCTTCTCAGATGTTTGACCGTTGCAAGATCCAGGCGCTTCCTAGGGTTACTCCTTGTTCCCCATTATTTAGAAATGTATTGCTCATGCAGTGTAGTTTTTGTCCTTGAAGATGTAGCATCTTTGCATATTGCTATCATTTATACTTAAATATGAAGTAAAGCACCTTTCTTTAAAATCTGATAGACGGCGCCATTGATCCTTTGAAGCCCAAATCTTTCCCCTGTGCCGGGGACTCCTCTCTCCCCAGTGGTTCTCCTTCCTCCTGGGCTTCCTGAAAACTTGTGCCCTGAGGATTACTTGGGCTGTTCTGGTTTTCACACTGCTGTTGAGGGTCAAACTTCTCTAAGGAAACTGTCCTTGAGTGTTGTGCTTTTGGGTATCTCGGAAGGTAACTACTACAGTGCAGGGTAGGATTGAGCGTCTTCAGAGCTAGTGCTGCGTAAACAGACATTCCCTGTAGCACTTACAGGGTCAGTTTATACGATGCTTAGTGGGTTAGCTCCATCAGCACAGTCACTTTATTCTTGCCCGTTTAATGTATGTCTGTGAGTTGAGGTTTTAACTTTGCATTGCTCGTGAGTCTAGATGTTACTACATGCTTTGATTTGCTCTTTCAGGTTCCGTGGATAAAACCTTTTGCCTTTCACAGATGAGCTAGAATCTGACGATGATCATGTGGTGTGCATGTGACGGGTTTTCCATTACTTTCTGCCTTATTAAACCCTTTGCCTCCTAATCAACACGTCTTTCTCCGAGTAGCTACCAAGTCTCCCTCCTACATTTTGGAAAAGCTTTTTTCTTTATAAATACGTATATATCGCTTTGGTTTATGTGTGGAGGGAGGATGAACTTGTCTGATTCTCTAGGTTTCTATTGTTTTCTGACTGGTGATTCTTTCCTGGTATGTTCTTTCTGGTTTATGACAATTTAAATTTCCTTCTGTTTGTTTCCCTTCTAACATAAATATTAGCTTGTTTTTGCTTTGTGTAGTTTTAAATCTAGTAGAATAAACTTGTTGTTACTTTTTAAGCTGCGTGCATATTTGATATTCTTGCCTACTTATTGTTGTAGATGAATTCTTGATTTTGGTTTGTTAAATTGTAAAAAATAGAAACTTGACCGAGCCTTCATAGTAAAGCATCCTCAGGCAGTGTTGCTCCTTTTCGGTCTCAGCCAGGAATCATGTCTTCTTGCATTCATTCCTTTGGGGAATCGTAGTTTTCCTTAAGTTTTTAATATCCCAAGTAGAATTACTTGAATTTCATTTTGTTTCAAAGATGTATTTATTTATTTGAAAGGTAGAATGGCACAAAGATCTTCCATCTGCTCATTCATTCCCCAAACAGCCACAATAACCACAGGGCTAAATCAGACTGCAGCTAAGAGCTGGGACCTCCATCTGGGCCTCGTGGGCCTGCCGTCTGAGTGATAGGGCCACGGTACTTTGCCAGGTGCCATGGCAGGAAGCTGGGTTGAGTGAGACTTAAACTGGTGCTCCAGTATTGGTGTTGGGTGTGGTGTCTCAAGCCATGACTTAACCCTCTGTACACCGGCCCCTCTTAACAATGTGTAACTCTTTCCTCCCTTTGGTGAATCACTGGAGTGTCTATTTGAATGATCCTAACAACACCACAGTTGATTTCCCCACCCCCTCAAAACCTGCAGTTTTTCACACTGCATTCATCATTTCTAGTATTTCCTAGGATTATGATCATGCTGTTCATAAAGATGTTATTTTTCCTCTCCTTTTGTTGCACATTAGTAATTCTGGTATTGGTTGCCAACCTTGTATATTTGGAAGAAAAAAGACTGGGGAGCCTTTTGTTTTATTTTAATCACCAGTGCATTACCAAGTAAAATGTTGATGTTTTGTACCTTAACAGTAAGTTATTTTAAAATAATTTGTCATATTTTCATGCATAACCAACTTTTTACAACAAATGCTTGATTTAAATCAGAAAGCTATTACTTTTCCAGTAATGTTTAAATTTAATCCACTTATGAATAATCCTTACTTAATTATTAAAGATTTATTGGGCCCAGAGTGGTAGCCTAGCGGCTAAGGTCCTTGCCTTGCACGTGCCAGAATCCCATATGGGCACCGGTTCTAATCCCAGCGTGGCCTAGCGGCTAAAGTCCTCGCCTTGAACGCCCCAGGATCCCATATGAGTGCCGGTTCTGGTCCCGGCAGCTCCATTTCCCATCCAGCTCTCTGCTTGTGGCCTGGGACGGCCCAAAGCTTTGGGACCCTGTGCCCGCAAGGGAGACCCAGAAGAGGATCCAGGCTCCTGGGTTTGGATTGTCTCAGCTCCAGCTGTTGCAGTCGCTTGGGGCGTGAATCATCGGACGGAAGATCTTCCTCTCTGTCCTCCTCTATGTATATCTGTCTTTCCAATAAAAAATAAAATCTTTAAAAAAATTGTTTATTTTTATTGGGAAGGCAGATTTACAGAGAGAAGGAGAAACAAAAAGATTTTCTATTTGCTGGTTCACTCCCCAAGTGGCCACAACAGCCAGAGCTGAGCCAATCTGAAGCCAGAAGCCTGGAACTTCCTCCAGGTCTCCCAAATGGGCTCAGAGTCCCAAAGCTTTGGGCCCTTCTTCACTGCTTTCCCAGGCCACAAGCAGGAAGCTGGATGGGAAATGGAGCTACCGGATGCCAGCACTTACAGACAGGGGACCAGCAGTTGAGCCATCTTGCCAGCCCCATAGTCCTTATTTATTCACACGATACATTTATCTTCTGAAAACATTCTCAGTCTTAAGATAGCTTCTGATTTCTGTTAGTTTTATCCTTTTTTTTTTTTTTTAATATTTATTTGTTTCTTTGAAAGGCGGTTACAGAGAGAAGAGAAACAGATCCCCTATACTGGTCCATCCTACAGATGACTGCAATAACCGAGGCTGGGCCAGACCAAAGCTAGGAGCCAGGAGCTTCTTCCAGGTCCTACATATAAATGAGTGTAGATTTATAGGAAGTTGAAAAATAGAACCTAGTGTTTCTGTGAAATCTCCACCAGGTTTCCGCAGTGATGGCCCCTAGTGGGACTTCCCTCGTGATTGTCCGGGGTTTTTCATCATGTCTTTGCGGTATCCTCCCCCCAGTCCTCTGGCCATGCTGAACTGGAACCCTAACTTCTCCAACTAGAAAACAGGATCAGAGATGATGAGATTCTTGCCCTTGTTTTGCCATTTCCTCTTTGACTTGAACAAGGCACTTACCCCATCTCAGCCTTATGAATTTCTCCTCCGTAAGCTGAGGGATTTAGTCAGGAATTCTTTGATTTCTGCTGAGTGTTAGCTGAGAACGCTGATGTCTGATTAGAAGGAGTTTGTCCATCTTTGGCAGAGTAATGTGCTTGGCTGTTCTCCTTATTGGAAACAAAATGTTAGAGAAATTTAAAAATTGGAGGGTTGGGTAGGCTCGTTTCTAAAATAAATAGAATCAGCACACAGTGTAGAGCAGGCAGTCTGGAACTGGAAGTTAAGCAGTGCCGATAGCATGGAAAATACAAACACACATAGAACTGCTTCTTGTCCATAGAAATAAATTCACAAGGAAGTCTAACATGTTTGCAAATTTTAAGTAGAAAAGAATGACTCCAGAAGGTGAATTTAAACTTAGTCAAACCAAGAGGTTTATTGTCATTAGTGATAATGCCCATATAATCAAGTGAAGAGCTTGTTATGCATGAATCTGTAACTTGTATTATTATAGTCTTCACTAGAAATTGCATGTGTTTAATTTCTGAAATTTTGGGATGAAGAGCACTGTCAATTTTGTATTAAACTGTTTCCTGTCGAGCGTGGCTGGAAATTTGATGTAATAAATCTGGATACAGTAATCACAGATCTGTGCTGGATTTCTTGTGGACAAAACGAAATATCCCAGCCTAGAAACACTGTTGAAATTGCACCTCAGAACGAAGCTTACTCTCCTATGTCCCTCTGAGAGAACTACTGAGTTTTATCCTCTCTCCAGAGCAAATCTTGTACCAATAAAATTCTCCATTCTACATACCCTTTCCAAAGTTGTTTGGTTTTTGTGCAGAATAAGCTTTGGAATCAGTAGCGCATCCTTGCCAGCCCCCTTGCCACCTGGAGAAAAGTGGAAATTTCCAAGGGCTAAAAGTAATACAGAAAGAACAGTGCTCCCATCCGTGATGAAATGCACACGCTAATCATACTCACACACAGTTTTTTTTCTCCTCCCCTCACTCTGTCCCAACTGTAACTCTCTCCCACCTGGTGCCCTTCTTCCTGCCGCCCGTCCTGGGTGTTTCTGCGAAGCTTTGTGCACCGAGGGCGGCCTGAGCCTCTGGACCTTCACTTGGGCATGTTCCTGCCCACCTTGCTTCACCAGGCCACCGCAGAGCAGCAGGAGCGCTTCTTCATGCCCGCCTGGAACTTGGAGATCATTGGCACTTATGCCCAGACAGAGATGGGTCATGGTACAGTGTATTCAGTCTACTTCTGGGTTGGGCGGGCCCCATGAGCATGGCATGTTTGCAGTGTCCGTTGTGAGCCAGCAGCAGCATGGCGGTGTTTCTGTGGAGTCCCAGCCTAGGCCGTGTCGCCCACTGAGGGATGATGTTTTACTGGCACCCTCAGGCCTTGCTGACTTCAGCTCTGTAGGATTCAGGCCTCCAGAACCTGAACTTGTCTGTCTGTCCTTTGTCACTGGTTCCCTTCACCACAAAGACCTCAGTGTACTTTGACAAATTCCAGAAGAAATACAAGTTGGTAGTGTATGTTTTGACTTAAGACTTGCTGTAGGAAAAATGAGTTGTTTAATATAAACAAAATGTAATGTTTTGTTCCTTGAAGTTGTAGTTTGATTCAGTAAATCAGGAATTTCTGAAAGTGGCTTGGCTGGAGGTCAGAAAAAACAAGACTAGTCGTGCTTCCAGGCTGTTCTGCCCTGTACCTACCACCTCCTTTTCTTGCACTGCCACCTGCCTTGCTGCACAGACCTCTAGAACGTCGGAGGTGGTAGCCATCGCTGTCATCCTCTTTGCGTTGGTGTCTGTCTGCGGTCTGTTTGCTTCTGCCTTTCTGGTTTCTTCTCAGGCTTCAGAGAATCAGTGTCTGCCAGTTGCTCCTTATCCCTGCACAGCAGCCTCGGAAGCAGAGCTGAGTGGCAGTGGCCTTACGCTCAGCCTTCCCAGGAGGAGGGCTGCAACACTGTTTGTTATCTTTTTCCTTTTTTCCTGTAGAAGTGTCTGTTTTAGTAAAAGGAATCTGAAGTGTCTGGTTTCTTGACTCCCACTCTGTAAGCAGACCATGTCTCTTACTCCACATGGAAGTTTCTCTGTTTCAAAGTTTAAGTGTTTAAGGAGTTCTGGTTTTATCAGAGTAGTCTGGTAGGAGGTTCGCAGCATTTGTTTCAGTATAGTGTTATTAGAGTGCCACCTGGAACATTTTTCTAAAACTTTGGAAATAATTTTTGGCATATTTGTGTTAGGATTTCAAACAAATTTTTATCCATCTCCAGGAAGCATATGAATCTGGATAGTCTTCCTCCCCTCACTAGTAAATCGGCCGGTACTAAGCAAAGACCTGGCCCCAGAGATCTGTAGGGGAACCCATGTCTTCCTATTGGGCTTGTCAGAATGTTTACAGGTCATTGTTTCTGGAGAGGTGGTCCCGTAGAGAGTTAGCATCCGTCCTGTGGATCCAAGTGAAACATGTTGGAGAGGTATTCTCTAAAACAAAGTCACTGCTCTAGCTCTTCCCCCCACCCCAACAATGAGAGCACCTTTTTTAAGTTCTTATTTTCTGTCTTAGCCATCTTTCTGAAAGAGTTTTTCAGTTTACAAGAGCATTAGCTGAAGCTTCTTCCTATCACACCTTCGTATTCTTCCCAGTATGTGCAATTCCAGAAAGTGGAAGTCGTATGGCGAACACGGTACACAGGAGTTGAAAGTGGTGTAACTGCAACTTGGAGACGAATTTCAAAGGATAGAAGACTCCCCTGTTGAATTGATATAGTGTGATCTTAAGCTGTGATTCTAAGCTGCCTTTGTATTTCCTTGCAATTGATTCAGATCTGTTAAATGCAGAATCAGCAAATGCAAGATGCTTATGTTTTCAGCCTAGCGGGAAACCATGGGGACACAGGACATGAAGCATCTGGGTTATCAGTCATTTGTAGCTCATCTACAAATGGGTTGCTGTTGTTTTGTTTTTTTGTTTTTTTTTCTTCCTATGAGATATTAATTTAAAGACTGGGTGGGAAATTATACCCTATTCTTATATTTTCCCCATATTTTTATTTGAAGTAAATGTCATTTATTTCCTCAGGAACTCATCTTCGAGGCTTGGAAACCACAGCTACATATGACCCCCAAACCCAGGAGTTCATTATGAATAGTCCGACAGTCACCTCCATTAAGTGGTGGCCTGGTGGGCGTAAGTGACTATTTCAGTGTTTATTGGATGTTTTCAAGATTCACTACAAGAGTTTGTTTAGAATGCAGAGCTCATATGAGAACATCATTTTTCAATATAGAAAAAAATACAAGTATTTTTCACACTTTCTGGTTGTACTTATTTCACAGAGTGCAGAAATGACAGCCACCTTTTTTGTTTAGATGAATAACTTTCAAAAAGAAAAGAAAAATTGCCACCACAGTTGCTATCAGTCATCCTTTATAGAAACTAATTATTTTGATATGATTTATTTGGGAGACAATTAGAGAGAGAGCTTCTTCTACCCACTGCTTCACTCTGTAAATGGCTACAAAAGCTAGGCCTGGGCCAAGGTGAAGCCAGAATCCAGGAACTCTATCTGGGTCTCCCATAAGGGTGGCAGGAACTCAAGTATTTGGACCATCCTTTGCTGCTTTTGCAAGTGTCTTAGCAGGGAGTTGGAATAGAAGTGGAGCAGGTGGCACTCAAGTTAGTGCTACAATGTTGGATGCCAGTGTCACAGGTGGCAGCTTAATCAGTTGTGCCATAATGACAGCCCCATGACATTTTTATAAAATATAAGCATGCAAAGAAGATAAATATTTGTAGATATACTAACCACAAAGCCACTCTGTCCCACAGAACTTTTTGCAGTGATGGAAATGTACTCTGTGGTACCCAGTAGGTATTGAGCAAGTGAAATGCCGCTAGCTGCCTAGGGAAGTGACCTTTAATAGCTACCAGGTTGTGACTTTCTAAGCAGGGATGTTACTTACTGTCTCAGGAAAGGCCTGCCAGACACACTGCATAGGGTAGAGTTGTATTTGACATATACTTTTCTCCTTTTGCAAATGTGAGAATGTTTGCTTACTTCTGTCTGACTTCATAGTTGGAAAGACTTCAAACCATGCAATAGTTCTTGCTCAGCTCTACACCAAGGGGAAGTGCTACGGATTACATGCCTTCATTGTACCAATTCGGGAGATTGGGACACACAAGCCTTTGCCAGGTAAGTGTTGTTCACCTGCTATTGTGAAGATGGAATGAGCACTTTTCTTCTGCAGAAAGAGGGAGGGGCGCAACCTTGGAGGCCCCCAGCACTGACTGCTCACGACTCCCTTCACTGCTGCTAGGCATCACCGTGGGAGACATCGGCCCCAAGTTTGGTTACGAAGAGATGGATAATGGCTACCTGAAGATGGACAACTATCGTATTCCCAGAGAAAACATGCTGATGAAGTATGCTCAGGTATGTCCAGATGAAAGCTGGAGCCTGAGGCGTTCTGTGTGGGGCTGCAGTGACTGCTGAAAACCATGGGTTAGAAGGGTCTGCTCCTCCAGAGGGGTGACACTTTTGTTTCTGAGACTGTTTATACTGTGGTCATGTTGGGAAGCAATTGACCGAGATGGTCAGCACACGCCAGGGTGTGCTTAACCACTGGCTGCAGGTAGGAGTTACCTGGAGGGCCAGTGAAATCCAGGTGGCTGAGTCATGCCTAGAGTTTCTTTTTCTTTCTTTCTTTCTTTTCTTTTCTTTCTTCTGTTTTCTTTTCTCTTTTCTTTCTTTTTTTTTCTTTCTTTCTTTCTTTCTTTCTTTCTTTCTTTCTTTCTTTCTTTCTTTCTTTCTTTCTAAGATTTATTTATTTTTATTGGAAAGGCAGATATACAGAGAGGAGGAGAGACAGAAAGGAAGATCTTCTATCCAATGGTTCACTCCCCAAGTGAGTGCAACGGCTAGAGCTGAGCCAATCTGAAGCCAAGAGCCTGGAGCTTTTTCCAGGTCTCCTGCACAGGTACAGGGTCCCAGAGCTTTGGGCCGTCCTCGACTGCTTCCCCAGGCCACCAGCAGGGAGCTGGATGGAAAGTGGAGCTGCCAGTATTAGAACTGGTGCCCATATAGGATCCCAGTATGTTCAAGGGGAGGACTTAAAACCGCTCTGCAATCGCGCTGGGCCCATGCCTACAGTTTCTGACACACTCTGCTGGGTGGGGACAAGGTTTCTGACACACTCTGCTGGGTGGGGTAGTGTTTCAGATGGTGCTTTTCCAGGGACCACGCCTTGAGACCCAAAGAACCACTGCACTGCCACTTGACCTTAACAGAAGGAAGCCTCAGCTCCGCTCTTTATCTCTTACTGCAGGTGAAGCCTGACGGTACCTACGTAAAACCGCTGAATAACAAGCTGACCTACGGGACCATGGTGTTTGTCAGGTCCTTCCTGGTGGGAGAGGCAGCCCGGTCTCTGTCCAAGGCCTGCACCATTGCTATTCGATACAGCGCTGTGAGGCATCAGTCTGAGATCAAGCCCGGGTAAGGGTCGGGGTGCGATGGGGTGGTCCTGAGGGCTGTCTTGGACTCTTATCAGATGAGCAGAGTTCCCATTTGCTCTGCAGAATGAGTCGACCAATCAGTGTCCAGGGCCTACTCCTGGCTTCTAGGCTTCCCTCGCTAAGCTGAGAGGCCGGCTCTTGGTGCCGCAGGTCAGCTGGTGCGAGGATACTCATCTCCCACATCACAGGGCCTGCTGAGTCTCTGCCTCCCTCTCTATGCCAGCTTCCTGCAGATATGCATCCTAGGGGCAGCAGGGACGGAGAGGTGAAGTGGCTGGGTCCTTGGGAGTCCCAGGTTGAGTCCCAGGTCTCCTGGAGACCGCTGCTCCAGCCCCGCTGTCGCGGATGCTTGGGATGGATGCATTTTTTTCTCTTCCTCTGTGCTTCCCTCCTCCTTCGTACCTCCTTTCTTCCTTCCTCTCCTCCCTCTGCCTTCTCTTTGTCTCTTTTAAATAAAGAAAAAGGTTTAAAAAGATGAAAATAACGTTATTATTGTTAAACTAAGAAAACTATGAAGAGTTTTAGTACTAAATTCTGTAAGTGAACTTTTCAGAACACTGAAGTCAATTTCAAAATTCTAATTACTAATAATGACTTTAAATTGGCCACAATAAAAGCAGCACCAAAACTTGGTAACTGGAGTTGCTGTCATGGTGCATCCTGTGTGAGCACTGCTTCAGCTTGCTGCTGTTCCACTTCTGATCCAGCTCCCACCGACGAGCCTTGGGAAGTGGTGGCCATGTGGGAGACTCAGGAATTCCAGGCTCCTCACCTTGACTTGGCCCAGCCCTGGCCATTTATAGCCACTTGTGGAGTAAAACAGCAGCTGGACTAATTGCTCTGTCTCTCCTCTCTAAAGAGCATTGTCTTGTGGAGGCAAATACCCTAGGGGTTTTTTTGTTTTTATTTTTTGTTTTGTTTTTCTTGTTGTTATTGTTTGTTTATATGATGGCAAAGAGACAGAGACAAACAATTCTATCCACTGGTTCACTCCCCAAGTGCTTGCTGTGGCTGGAACTAGGCTGTCACTGGGGAGCTGGGAATCAGTCCAGGTCTCCCGTGTGAGTGGCAGGGACCCAGCTACTTAAACCCTCAACTGCTGCCTCCCATGGTTGGCATTAGCAGGAAGCTGGAATTGGGAGCCACAACCAGCAGACTGCAATATGAGACACAGCTACCTGGAAGCTTAACTGCTAGACCAAACACCTGCTCTGACGACCTAGGTTTCAGTAAAGACTCTGCAGATTTCAGTTGTGACTTCAGGCAGATTCTTAACTCCTCGCTTTCCCCATTTGCAAGTTTGAGACGCTAAGAGCAGCTCCCTGCCACAGTGTGTGTGGTTAATCCCTTAGTGCAGTAACATGCTTAGACTGGCAGCTCTGTAGAAACATGCACTTACTTGTTTCTGTTTCCATGTAATTCAGTGAACCAGAACCGCAGATTTTGGATTTTCAAACCCAGCAGTATAAACTCTTTCCGCTCCTGGCCACAGCCTATGCCTTCCAGTTTGTAGGCGCCTACATGAAGGAGACCTACCATCGGATTAACGAAGGCATTGGCCAAGGGGACCTGAGTGAACTGCCTGAGGTGTGTCTTTGGTCCTGCTCACTGTGGGTATCCTTCTGTTCCATGTTTGCCTGTTGGAGAATGTCTTGGGAAAAAAAATTTCCTGGAAAAAAAATCATATTCGTAGATTTTTTTTTTTCTGATTGAAAGTGGATCAAATAGGAAGTTATGTTTTATTTTGAAATATTTTTAAGTCTCAGAACTATTGTACCATATTGGTCATTTGACATAGGGGACAAAGATGGAATTTTTTTGTTGTTACTGTTGTTTTGCTTTTTACTGAGCAGGGCCGTGTAGAAGGGAGGTTGTTAATTCTGGCCTGTGTGACAGCTGGTTTGCTGGAAGCTGGTGTGTATGGGAAAGCTGTGTTCTCGCTGGGGTGCAGCCTGTGAGCACCACCCATGTTCTGACCCAAACACCACCCATGCTTGCTCCCCCAGCTCCACGCCCTCACCGCCGGGCTCAAGGCCTTCACCACCTGGACAGCAAATGCTGCGATAGAACAGTGTCGGATGGCTTGTGGGGGACACGGCTATTCTCACAGCAGTGGCCTTCCAAATATTTATGTCACTTTTACTCCCGCCTGCACCTTCGAGGGAGAAAACACCGTCATGATGCTGCAGACAGCGAGGTGAGAGTCCTGACCTGCCTCACGGCCCGATCCCACGTCCTCTGTACCATGTGTGTATGTCTGTTCCTTCTCTCCTGACTCCCTGGTTTCATCTTTGGGTTGGAGTGGAAAGCTCAAAGCATCTGTCCTGCAGCTCCAACTGCTGTGAAGAACAGGGTCGGTAGGGACCGGTGCTGTGTAGGGCAAGGCCGGTAGGGACCTGTGCTGTGGAGGGTGGGCTGGTAGGGACCGGTGCTATAGTGCAGCACATTAAGTTTCAGCTTATGACACCAGATCCTTGCATGTGCACCAGTTCACATGTTCCACGTGCCATCCAGCTGCCTGCTAAGGTGTTTGGGAACACAGTGGAAGATATGCCATATACTCACCAAGGGGTACCACTCACATGGTAATCAGAATGGATTTTCAGGCTGCCAGCTTTGGCTTGGCCTGGGCTTGGATATTATTGCCATTTGGGAAGCTGAACCGTTTAACTATGCCTTCCAGATAAAGTAAGTTAATTAGGAGAGAGAGAGAAGTGTGGTTGCTGTAAGTGTGTGTATTTGTGTTTTCCAGGTTCTTGATGAAAAGTTACGACCAAGTGCACTCGGGGAAGCTGGTTGGAGGAATGGTGTCCTATCTGAATGAGCTGCCCAGCCAGCGCATCCAGCCGCAGCAGGTGGCAGCGTGGCCAGCCATGGTAGACATCAACAATCCTGAGAGCCTCACTGAGGCATACAAACTGCGTGCAGCCAGGTGAGTTCGTCCTTGAGAGCAGTTCTGCGGCTGGGAGCACCGTGGGCCTGGCCTTGGAGATGGATGAGGCCCTGAGCGCTGCTAACTGCTTCCTCAGTCCGCAAGTTCCCTTTTATTTCCTAACAGATTAGTGGAACTTGCTGCAAAAAACCTTCAAGCCGAAGTGGGTCACAGGAAAAGCAAGGAGGTGGCCTGGAACCTGACCTCTGTTGACCTTGTTCGAGCCAGCGAGGTCAGTGGGAGAGACACACACACACACACACACACGCGCGCGCGTGCTCACCCCACCTGAGCTCCGTTGCCCTTGTTCAAGCCTTGCAGAAACCCTCGTCGTGGTGTGGGCTCTGCGAGTTCTCACAGCCTGTTGTTTTGTTCCTTTTATCCAGGCACATTGCCACTATGTGGTAGTTAAGCTCTTCACAGAAAAAGTCCTCAAAATTCAAGATAAATCCATTCAGTCTGTCCTAAGGAATTTGTGCCTCTTGTATTCTCTGTATGGAATCAGTCAGAACACAGGAGATTTTCTGCAGGTCAGTATTTCCTAACTATGAGGAGCCTCCTGAAAGTCTACAGCTGCTGGATGTGGTGGTGCTGTTCGTTAAGCTGCTGCTTGCAAGGCCAGTTCAGGTCCCAGCTGCTCAGCATCCAATCCAGCTGGTGATGGCCCAGATGTCTGGGCCTCTGCTACCCACACGGGAGACTGGGATGAAGTTCCTGGCTCCTGGCTTCAGTGGGATCCAGACCTGGCTGTTGCAGCCATTTGAGATCCCTGTCTGTCATTCTGCCTTTCTTTTTTAAAAATTTATTTATTTTTATTACAAAGTCAGATATACAGAGAGGAGGACAGAGAGGAAGATCTTCCATCCGAAGATTCACTCTCCAAGTGACTACAACAGCTGGTGCTGTGCTAATCTGCAGCCAGGAGCCAGGAACCTTCTCCAGGTCTCAGACAAGGCTTCAGGGTCCCAAGGCTTTGGGCCATCCTTGGCCACAAGCAGGAAGCTGGATGGGAAGTGGGGCTGCCAGGATTAGAACTGGTGTCCATATGGGATCTCGGTGCTTTCAAGACGAGGACTTTAGCCACTAGGCCACCGTGGTGGGCCCCACCATCTTACTATTTGCTTTGCTGTCTTTTAGGGGAAGATCATGACAGAGTCTCAGATCAACCAAGTAAACCAGCGTGTAAAGGAGTTGCTCACCCTGACCCGCCCCAATGCTGTTGCGTTGGTCGATGCATTCGACTTTAAGGATGAGACCCTGGGTTCAGTCCTCGGCCGCTATGATGGCAACGTGTACGAAAATCTGTTTGAGTGGGCAAAAAAATCCCCACTGAACAAAACTGAGGTAAAAATAACAGCAAACAAGACAGTGTCTTCACCTTTCCAAGCTCTGCCTTCAAACACTGAAGGGAAAAGGTCCGGCCAGGGATTCATCAGAAAGCTGCGGAAGCACCACACTCGTTTCTAACAGTCACTTTATGTCAGCCGCAAGTGCACAGGGAGCTGGGTCACTCCCCGCAGCAAACACGGCTGTCATTCCCTTGCATGTTTAATAAGTTCTCAAGCATCAGAAACACGAAACCTTCTCCAGATGCCCTTGCCAGGCTCCAGGGAGCGGTCCCTGCTGGCCATCCGTGCGGCTCTGCGCCCCTGCGTCCTGCGGATGAAGCCAATCCAAGATACCCACTGCCTCATTCATAGTCAATATGATGCTCCAAAAAGAAGGATTTTTTAAAGTGTGACCACAATACTGGTCTCATTGCTAAACAGATCAACAGTATCATAAAATGTCCCAGATTTTTCAGTGACTTCAGTATCTTTTTAGTGCATGTTTGCTTTAGGGTTTATTTCAGCTCCAGAGAATCCCTGCAGGCACACAGATTCACCCGGGACGCTCCTTACTGGTCTTTCTTCTCTCCCTGCCCTCGCAGGTCCATGAGTCTTACTACAAACACTTGAAGCCGCTGCAGTCCAAGCTCTGAAACATCGCCAGGGCCAAGTCTAACGTGCAGAGCCGCTGCGGACATCTGCCTGGACTCCGCGTCCAGCTGAAAAAAAGCGCAAAGCAAGGGATAAATTAACCCCTCTCCTCCTTCTATAAATGAAGAAAAAATGAACAGATTTCAAAGATTAAGTGATTAAAAAAAAAGATGTTTTAAGTGTAACTAACATTGAAAGAGACCTGTAAAGCATTCAGAAAAAGCTTAAGAAATGCAGGATGGCCATCTGTAATGCTGCTGGATCCCACAGGCCAGGCTTTTGGGAATTAGCAGAATTTAACTACTAAGTAGTTAATTGTTTTCACATTTTAATTACTAATCACTGGCTATACAAGTGTTTTGAAGTTAAGGTGTTTTTAAGGCGGGCAGAGCCCTCCTGAGTGTCCAGCTCACTGTCCTCCCACCGCTCCCAGGAGTCTGGCTAGAAGAGCAGAACTGGAGGAAATGGAAGGGGAGAGAGACTAATGGAGAAACTTGCTGGGAAGCAGCTTGTGCCTGGGGCGCTGTCCGCACGGCCGGCCGCCTGCCTTTGCCAACTAGCTGCTCCAGACTACTCATGGTAGCATTTTCCATAAGTGACTGTTGCACGGCAGGTCTTCTGTGGGACCCCTTGCGCTGAAGTTGGGAATTTCCTTCCATTCAAAGGATGGCTAAGTTGCTGTAGTCTTACCAGATCTCCCTTTGTGCCCTGTGTCTGGAAATGAAATTGGTAACAAAGTGACAGTCCATGTCCAGCATTCTGGAAGGGCCCGTGAAGGAGAGCCCCTGGCAAGGCCTCTGTGACACCCTCCCAGTAGGGTGTTCTTAGACAAGCACCTCGGCATTAGCAATTAAAAGGTTGAAAATTACAGAGTATTTGGCATTTTAAAAAAAAAGTCTTTTGACAAACTCCGTGTTCCAATTTTGGGTTCCGAGAGCCTAATCTTTGAGCTCTGGCTGTAGGATCAAAGGAAGTTGTGCAGATGCTGCTGCTTGCTGTTGGCTCTGCTGTCGGTGTAAGAGCTTTTATCTGAATTGCTAAATTGGCTTCTAAGTTGAAATCTGATTTGTACAATGTGAATATGAAATTTTTTCTTAAAATCAGTGTAAAACAGCATAAGCCACTTTTTTTTTTTTTTTTTTAGTCTGGTAACTGTCTGAGATCTGCCTCATAAAACTAGTTGTTCTAGAATCAGCTTTGGGAATATGGTATAATTATATGTAATTGTGTCTTGGGGCCTAATATAAAGTCTTTGTAAGAAACTGCTAACATGAGACTCTTCGGTTACAATGGAAATGCCATGTGATGACAAAAGCCTTAATTGTCCTACCAGGAATATTAATAATTGTATTAAGACTGAGGATTAACAGTGATTTATATATTTGGGTGTATCTTGACAGTAGTTTGGGTTCTGGGAATCACAGTAAACATAAATGGCTTATTACTGACTGTTAAATCTGGATTTATTCCAAGTTACTGTTTGAACCCTTTGCAGATGACTGGGCTGGAGCTGAAGCTGGGGGTTGTGACACCTGCCCAACCCAGGTGTGCAGCCCTGGGAGCCGGCCAGCTGAAAGAGGCTGTCTTCTCTCCACAGGCCCTCCCAACCTCCCCACCTAAATCTGACCTTTAACACTATTTTTGTTGACATTGGATTCCCTTGAACTTCATCAGTATATTCAAAGAAAAGTCCAGTGAAACCTGATCTCCATCTTAAGTGTCCATTATGAGGAAATTCATGTACAGGTTGATTAGTTGAACACTCAACACGAAAGGAAGGAATGAGGCCCTCCTCAGCCAGTGGCTGTCAGCCAGACAGTAGTTGGTTAGTGACTGCTGTCACACTGGTCCTTGGCAGGACTCGGCACACGTCTGTTGATGGCACTTTAAGGGAAGCAAGAGGTCCAGTTTGTTCTGAGAAGGCACACTGCCACTTTTAAGGCTTTTGGTGAACCATTTACATTAACAAAAACCAAGATAAAAACCTAGGCTTTTCCAAAAGGACATGAATTCTCAATAGGAAGTACACTGAACAGTATACAAAGCAGGAAAAGTTACGGTTCAGTTGAGAAGTGTTTGCTGATTATGTGAACAAAGGGTGATTTTTCCAGTGCTTGGAGTTCCCTTGGGAGACTTCTCAAGATACACAGTGAGACGTGTTCCAGTGCACAGGCAGCTCACCACAAAGCAGAGCTGGGCCCAAAGCCTTGGGGGGCCCTTCACCTCAACAACATGGCACTGCTGAGCTCCAACTTACCTCCAAAACATTCACCTCATTGCAACCCTAGGCCACTCACCTAACCTGAGAACTGCCAGATCTTTATTCTTAGGGTCCTTCCTGCTCCCCAGGGCTTTGTGTGGAGAAATACAACTCCAAACCCATGATCCTGAACATCTCAGAGGTTCAGTTTCTCTCTGGACAGCTGGTGCTAACACCTGCTAGACATGGACATCATGTAGAGCAGGTGCCAGACACTACAGGTTACCTAGAATTACGACTGCTGCTACAGCCTTAAGGATAAAGTAGGCTTCCTGACACCACAATTCTTCCCCTTGAAGGTTTTAATCACTTGCCTGAAATAATGTGGAGAGATCATCTTGGCTCATTCACTACCACGTTGTTGGAGAAGTAGAGCCTGACTATTTTTTGCCTTGAGTGAGCCACTGATTGGAACAATCATAGAAAATTTCAGGTTGAATCAAGCAGCTTTGCTACAATATAGTTGATTTTGATTTTTAGGGAGCAAAATGTAGATTAATGGCTCCTTGGTAGCCATTTCATTTCCAATTACGGGGGGGCTCCTAAATCACTTTTATTCTTTGGGATGTGTAATTTGTGTTTTGAGTTTGGTTCCTACTTGGAAAAGATGCATTTAGCATGTCTTGTTTTACCCAGCCATGGCTAGACACTGCCAGTGGGGGTGGGAGGGCCACGAGATGAACACGAGTGGGGCCAGAGGCGGACAGCCACAAGCCTGCATGGCCTGTGGACAAGCCAACTACTGTTCCTTCCTTTGTAAAACTGAATACGACCCACACACAAGAAAAAAGTGTCGTCTCTCTCTGCTGGGTGACAGCTTGGGGACTCCCGGGCACTCCACGCAAGTCCTGGCTCTTCCTTTCCAATTTCAGTTTCTTGTTAATTCCTGGAAGGCAGCATGCCACCCACGTGGAAGAACTCCACATGTTCCAGGCACCTGACCGCGGCTGTCCAGGGAGTGGATCAGTGTGTGGAAAGCCTCTCTGTTTCTATCGTTCAAGTAAAATGAAAAATAAATTTTAAAAAGAGTTACAGGTTCCCTCTTCACCCCATCCTCCTACAGTGCAGTCCTTGGCGTTGAAGCAGCTCCTAGCAACGCTCTTCGGAGCTGGAGGCCTAGCCCAACCAACGGTCACTCCTGGGCATCCTGGGAATTGTAGTTCTTCCTGGCGAGCCCGGCTTCTAGATTCCGGTAGATGATTGCGTAGCGGACCACAACTCCCAGGATGCTTCGCTGCAGCCGTTCTTGGCGGCTAGGCGCATGCGGGGCCCGGAAGCGGGATGTCTGGGCACCTCCGGGCTGACCTAGTGGACTTAAGACCTGCCGCTATGGTTGAGACAGGTTCCCGCGAGCGTTTCTACAAAGGGAATGGCGCGTAATGGGGCCGGAGTGGGTGTGTGTGTGGAGTGGTGATGTGTTGAGAAGCGCAGGGACCGAAGAGGTGACGAGGAAGACGGGTCGGGCGCAGAGCTGAGGCGACGTTGCCCATGGCCCTTTGTCTAGAAGTTCCCGCGGCGTGGAAAGGAAGATCAGGACCCATAGGATGCGCGTTGGGAATTGTACAAAGCGGCCCTTGTGGACAGACAGGCCCTGTTTGCAACCCCAGATGAACTTTGCCTTCTCCTGACAGGGCAGGCCAACACCAAGGGCAGGGAGGAACCGCTGCGACTCCCTTCCCCGTCACGCCAAGGTGGGTTGCGTGGGGGGAGTTAGAGTTATCCCACCGTCAATGAGCATCGTGTCAGAAAAACCCCGGAGGTCACACCCATGCTGGCTGATGCTGCCCTAATTAAGCAGTCCTGGGTGCTGTCGGCCGCAGAGTCAGGTGTGCCTGCATGCTTTCTGGAACGCACACCTGCCCCTTAAACCACACCCTCTTTGTAGCTAAAAAGGTTGGCATCATAGCCTGGAATAAAGCCCACACCTGCCTGGTGGTGTCCCAGCTGCTCAACTTCCTCTAAAAAAAAAAAATGTATTCATTTTATTGTAAAGTCAGGTATACACAGAGGAGGAGAGATCTTCCATCTGTTGATTCATTCCCCAAGTGACCACAACGGCCAAAGCTGAGCCGGAAGCTAGGAGCAGGAAGCTGGATGGGAAGCAGGGCGGCCAGGATTAGAATTAATGCCCAAGTGGGATCTTGGCTGCTCCACCACTGATTCAGCTCCCTGTGAACAGCAGCAGAGAGGATGGTCCACGTGCCTGGGCCCCTGCCCTCAGGTGGGACACCCAGATGAAGTTTCTGGCTCTTGGCTTTTCCTGGCCGTTTGGGAAGTAATCCAGCAGATGAGAGAGATCTTTGGCACTCTGCCTTTCAAATAAAATTGTTTAAAAAGATGACACGCACTGTATTCTGTTCAAGTAGTTCTGACGCCAGGGAAAGCACATCATATTATCCAGAATGCTTTGCTTCCCAAATGAGTTGCTTCGTGTACCCCAGGAGGTTTGTGGAAATGGCTTTGACCTCTTGATAAAGTGAGGGAAGTTCTGATAGCCCCTGTGTTCACATACTGTTAAAGCTATTTGAAAAGCAAAGTCACAGAATGGGAAACAGATAGAGGTCTTTTTTCCACTGCTTCACTCCCATAGCAGCGGCAACAGCCAGGACTGGGCCAGGCTGAAGCCAGGAGCTAAATCTGGGGTCTCCCACATGGGCTCAGGGGCCTAAACAGGTGGACAATCCTCTGCTGCTTTCCCAGGTGCATTAGTAAGGAATTGATCAGAAATGGAGGGCCTGGCAGCCGTGGCCTAGCAGCTAAAGTCCTCGACTTGAATGCGCCAGGATCCCATGTGGCACCAGTTCTAATCCCGGCAGTCCCACTTCCCATCCAGCTCTCAGCTTGTGGCCTGGGAGAGCAGCTGAGGACGGCCCAATGCTTTGGGATCCTGCACCCATGTGGGAGACCTGGAGGAAGTTCCTGGCTCCTGGCTCCGGATCAACACAGTCCCAGCCGTTGTGCTCACTTGGGGAGTGAATCTTCGGATGGAAGATCTTCCTCTCTGTTTCTTCTCATCTCTGTATATCTGATTTTGTAATAAAAAATAAAATAAATCTTAAAAAAAAAAAAAAAAAGAAGAAGAAGAAGTGGAGCCTCCATGGGCCCAGCATGATTACATAGCAGTTAAAGTCCTCACCTTGAACGCACCAGGATCCCATATGGGTGCTGGTTCTAATCCTGGTGGCCCTGCTTCCCATTCAGCTCCCTGCCTGTGGCCTGGGAAAGCAGTTAAGGATGGCCAAAAGCTCTAGGACCCTGCACCCACCTGGGAGACCCAGAAGAAACTCCTGACTGGCTCAGCTCCAGCCGTTGCGGTTGCTTGGGGAGTGAACCATTGGACGGAAGATCTCCTCCTCTCTGTATGTCTGCCTTTCCAATAAAAATAAATACATCTTTAAAAAGAAGTGGAGCTCCTGGGAACTGAACCAGCTCCTCTATGGGATTGGGCGCTATAAACAGTGGCATAACCCATTACACCACAGTTCTGTTCTGAATGCTATATGATTTTTTTTAAAGGATTTATTTATTTGAAAGGCAGAGTTGAAGAGAGGGAGAGATAGAGAAAGCTCTTTCATCTGCTGATTCACTCCCCAAATGGCCACAGTGACGTAGGCTGGGCCAGGTG